AAATCTCCCATACCTCTATACATTACCAACGACTCCAAATCTCCCATACCTCTATACGTTACCAACGACTCCAAATCTCCCATACCTCTATACATTACCAACGACTCCAAATCTCCCATACCTCTATACGTTACCAACGACTCCAAATCTCCCATACCTCTATACATTACCAACGACTCCAAATCTCCCATACCTCTATACGTTACCAACGACTCCAAATCTCCCATACCTCTATACATTACCAACGACTCCAAATCTCCCATACCTCTATACGTTACCAACGACTCCAAATCTCCCATACCTCTATACATTACCAACGACTCCAAATCTCCCATACCTCTATACGTTACCAACGACTCCAAATCTCCCATACCTCTATACATTACCAACGACTCCAAATCGCCCATTCCTCTATACATTACCAAGCTCATTTTACTACCAAACCAACTCTACCTTTCCTCAAACTATCACCACCAACACGCATGTACGTTAAAACCCGCTAAAAAATACACGCGTTTGCAGTTAACACAGCTCATCCATTCCCTACCATTAAATATTTACTTCCAAAGTAAATACAGTAACTTGTACCATCTCGAGCTCCTAATCGTCACAACTGGAAAACGCTGAAATAACACTGCTCTGGCATTGTTACCCTGAGGACACCTAAAGCACAAACATGTATATAACGTACATCTTATAGTTAACCTACCTACTGACGAATACAGGTATACACAACACGTCAATATTCTGATAACATCTCTGATGCGCGTGATACTACACAAACAATGTTCCTAATGAAGATTCCTTACCCTTGTAAGATGATTAATTGTCTGACGAGATTATCTGTCACTGATAAACAAAAGAACTGTTATTACTAAGTAGACTATGCTAAGAATAATATAATCTTACCGTCGCCGAAGTCATCGAACGCGCCTCCTCAGCAGGAGAGCTATTGTAATGGGTTTATTATCTTCAGACCGTAACTACGTACTTTAATCCTAGAATTTTAATGTCTTGAACTACTTGCAAAATCCGTTGCTTTTGTATCTTTATGTACCAAAATAACGGCCGAAAACAGCCATGATACAGAAACATGTGAAACCATCAGACGTAAAGGTTGCCAAGTATAACAAATTACACCACGATAAGGCTGTCATCACATACAATGAAATTTTATCGCAAGGAATGTCTGTTATTTTGATTACACCAAATGAGCTACCAAACTATAACCTTTACACACCTAGATATCTATATACTGATGTTGATTCATCTTTACATACCTAGATATCTCTATACTGATGTTGATTCACCTTTACATACCTAGATATCTATATACAGATGTTGATTCACCTTTACACACCTAGAATTCTCTATATTGATGTTGATTCACCTTTACATACCTAGATATCTATATACAGATGTTTATTCACATTTACATACCTAGATATCTTTACACTGGTGTTACTTTACCTGTACACACCTAGATATCTCTATACTGATGTAGATTCACCTTTACATACCTAGATTTATCTTTACTGATGTTGATTCACCTTTTCACCCCTAGATAGCTCTATACTGATGTTAATTCACCTTAACATACCTAGATTTCTCTATACTGATGTTTATTCACCTTTACACACCTAGATTTCTCTATACTGATGTTAATTCACCTTTACATACCTAGATGTCTTTATACTGATGTTGATTCACCTTAACATTCCTAGATATCTATATACAGATGTTGATTCACATTTACATCCCTAGTTATCTTTACACTGGTACTTAACGTACTGATGTTAATTCCCCTTAACATACCTAGATATCTCTATACTGATGTTAATTCACCTTTACATACCTAGATTTCTCTTTACTGATGTTGATTCACCTTTACATACCTAGATATCTCTATACTGGTGTTGATTCACCTTTACACACCTGGATATCTCTATACTGATGTTTATTCGCCTTTACACACCTAGATTTCTCCATACTGATGTTGATTCACCTTTACATTCCTAGATATCTATATACAGATGTTTATTCACCTTTACACACCTAGATTTCTCTATACTGAAGTTCCTTTACCCACCTAGATTTCCCTATACTGATGTTGATTCACCTTTACACACCTGGATATCTCTATACTGATGTACCTTTACACACCTAGATTTCTCCATACTGATGTTGATTCACCTTTACATACCTAGATATCTCTATACTAATGTTGATTCACTTTTACATTCCTAGATATCTATATACAGATGTTGATTCACCTTTACACACCTAGATATCTCTATACTAATGTTGATTCACTTTTACATTCCTAGATATCTATATACAGATGTTGATTCACCTTTACACACCTAGATATCTCAATACTGATGTTAATTCACCTTTACATACCTAGATTTCTCTATACTGATGTTGATTCACCTTTACATTCCTAGATATATATATACAGATGTTGATTCACCTTTACACACCTAGATATATCTATACTGATGTTGATTCACCTTAACATACCTAGATATCTCTATACTGATGTTAATTCACCTTAACATACCTAGATTTCTCTATACTGACATACATTCACCTTAACATACCTAGATTTCTCTATACTGATGTTGATTCACCTTAACATACCTAGATATCTCTATACTGATGTTAATTCACCTTAACATACCTAGATATCTCTATACTGATGTTGATTCACCTTTACACACCTAGATATATCTATACTGATGTTGATTCACCTTTACATACCTAGATGTCTTTATACTGATGTTGATTCACCTTTACACACCTAGATTTCTCTATACTGATGTTTATTCACCTTTACATACCTAGATATCTATATACAGATGTTGATTCACCTTTACACACCTAGATTTCTCTATACTGATGTTGATTCACCTTTACATACCTAGATATCTCTATACTGATGTTGATTCACCTTTACATACCTAGATATCTATATACAGATGTTGATTCACCTTTACACACCTAGATATCTCTATACTGATGTTGATTCACCTTTACACACCTAGGTATCTGTATACTGATGTTGATTCACCTTTACACACCTAGATTTCTCTATACTGATGTTAATTCACCTTTACATACCTAGATATATCTATACTGATGTTTATTCACCTTTACATACCTAGATATCTTTACACTGGTGTTACTTTACCTGTACACACCTAGATATCTCTATACTGATGTTGATTCATCTTTACATACCTAGATATCTTTATACTGATGTTGATTCACCTTTACATACCTAGATATCTCTATACTGATATTGATTCATCTTTACATACCTAGATATCTTTATACTGATGTTGATTCACCTTTACATACCTAGATATCTATATACAGATGTTGATTCACCTTTACACCCGTAGATATCTCTATACTGATGTTGATTCACCTTTACATACCTAGATATCTCTATACTGATGTTAATTCACCTTTAAATACCTAGATATCTCTATACTGATGTTGATTCACATTTACATACCTAGTTATCTTTACACTGGTACTTAACGTTTATAATGACTTATCTTTATTAATGAGAGGTATTCACGCTGATTCTGGATAGCAGTTATCGAAGATAATCATAACTGGAAGTGCAATCCATGCTATGTCAAGATCATTGAGGTCAGTAAAAAACAATCTCATCCATGTCCATTTTGTCCATAATTTGCATTGTCTCATACCTTATCTACACCCCATATCGAATCATCACAAATTGCCTTATTCCTGATTAGCCATACTCTGGTTACGGTCTCCTCAAAATTGTCAGATGATTTAATTTAAGATGTTCTTTATGAAGAAGTCTTCAGGTCTTACATATTGTCATCAAATTATATCTCCTACATATTTCACACATAATATTGTAATTACACTTATCTCGCATACATGGCTGTACCACTTATATTTCGAATAACGTATTTTATAACACACAAACATAACCTTCCGGAACACCTAGATCCGTATTAATAAAAACGGACTCCTTCTCAAACTCAGAGTATGTGATGAAGAAGACAAATTTCTTCTTCAAATAACAAATTTATCAGAAATTCACTTTTTCTCTTTGTTTTAGAAGAATTCTTGAGAAAATGTTAAGCTCAATACTTTTTTCAATGTTTACCCTTTATTTTTTTACCATGTCGCATGATTTCTGCAAGTTCCTAGACAATTGGTTTGAAGACAGACTCTTTTGTATCATATTGGAGCTCGAATTTTCGTTGACACTTCGGTATTCTCTGTTTTCTTTTTTCTTCGTACAAATACACACACAGTTATGTAAACTATAGATCCATACATACTGTAAACATGGCCGATCGGATGAGACAAGTTGTGTCCACGAGTTAATACAGTTTGCTGTATGGTAGTCGTTTAACATTCCTCAATCCAATCACAGCCCACACAGCATCCTCTTTATGGTCTATGCCAACAGCCATCAGTTTGGCTGTGTCCGTGTGAATGATCCTGAGGAACACGCCCCGACCACTGAGGAGGAGGGCACAACAGTTGTTAAAGTCTCCTATGACTAGGTTCCCTACACTGTCATAGGCCGCATCAGAGGGATTAAATGGTTTCCGATTCGGTGTTGCATATTCCCTTGGGATGTCACCACCATAAACAAACATTTTCTTAAAGTACATATTCATAACGACAACTTGTTGTTTCGCATCCCCGCCATCACTTTTGAAATTTCCATCAACCACGGCGATGTTGTGGGTGACTGGACATTCCGAGATCCTGTATGGTGAGCGCACTAATGGCTTCTCCGCTCCTTCAGACATTGTAGTTAACTCTGTTTCGCCTTTTGTGGTAAATATTGAGATGCCTTTGGTCATCCCTACGATTACACGTTCATGGGCAGTAACGCATAAACATCTAGGTCTCTCGTCGGTGCTGAATCTGTGTGTAAGATGTCCTGATACCAGCTCCATGATGCTGTTTTTGAGATCACACACCCATAGTGTGTTTGTTGTGGGTGACAGACTGATGTCTTTGATCTGGTCACTGTGTTCGACCTTCTCAACCACCTGACCTTTCCTGTCCAGGAGAGTCAGTGTGCGAAGAAACCTTGTCCACAACTGACCACCAATGATAGGACATGTAGAGGAGATATCACACGGAGCCTGCCATTCCGAAGGTAACAACGTGTGGCCATGCCTTGAATCTTCCGCTGATCTTCTGTCAGCAGACCATCCAACTGACCGACCATGTTCCGCTGAACCTTGACCCTGACATACACCTTGATCTGTCGTGGAAATATCTCCAAAGGCTAGTTTCAGATGAGTCTCGGGATATCGGTTTGGAGTAAAGCAGGGGATGTCCAGGGTAGGTTTTACAGGACGTGTGGCATGAGAATTTGTTATCTCGTAGTCTGTATCATAAATATCTAGGTTAGATCCAAGCTGAAGTACTGTCTTGCATTTTACTATCATGTGTTTCAGCTGGGTGTCGTACCTGTCCAGGTCCTGTTTGTATTGGTGTAGTAGTTTGGTGTTTTCCTCCCTCATTGTTTGATACAGAGACAGTGTTTGTGTTGTTAGTCTGTCAAGACCTTCTTTTAATTTGTTTGTTTGATTTTTTAACTCCTGTGAAAGTTGTTCGAATGTGCTGGCATTGTCCTTGAGGTGTGTATTGGTAGAAATGATGAATTGGCCGATTCTTGAAAGGCCAACATTCTCAGTTTTGTCTATGAAGTCTGTAATGCCCTGCTTCTTTTGGGGAATGATTTCACGAAGCTCACACATTGCATGGCTGTTGTGTACATTGGATAAACATTGTGTGCACGCAAGTTCCTTACATTGTTCACAGTACAGGTCGAGTTGTCTCCCCTTGTGGTGGATACAGGTGGTCTGACCTTTAACACGGGAAGGAACTTGACCTTTGTACAGGGTTGTGGCCATTTTGTAATGTTCAAATACACTGAGGAAAACGTTTTTTGTTTTTGTCTAAAAAACAGAAACAAACAAACAAATCTAAAGGTAAAAGTTCTAAGAGATAGGCATTATATTTCACTAGATTCACAAAGAAAACCATCTGTAGTTTGCACACACGCCCTGTGTTAGTTGTTCAGCGTTGATCCAGTAGACAAATGTGTTATGGAATCGATTTTTATATTATCAAGGAATCAGACAATCGTTCACCTCCTTTACACAGTTCGATGTCCAGTGTTTAGTCTAGTGGTGTCACCAAGAAGGCAGGTTGTGGATAAAAGGAGGGATACTCTCCTGTCCTGTGGTCACTGTATATCACTGCCTCAATAAGTTGCTATGTTATAAAATCTTTTGAAATCTTAAAAATGAAGTCTAAAAATATTTCAAAAAATCACCTCGTACATGCAATTCATTGTCAAATTTTTAAATGTCTGCGTTAATAAAGGCAGAATTAAACCCGTTATGGTTAAACGTCTTTGTATATCCAAACTGTTAGAACTAGTAGATGATTCTTATACCTGGTGAGAATTTTGGGCGTCATTTATCTTCACAGACTCGTCCAGATCTAGAAATAATACGTCTTCTCAGTCGTGAGTTGTTGCCGCGAACCGCCGTTGTGGAGTAGGTCAATCCAAAAGAGTTCATAGTTTATCAAACAGCACTTCCTGTCGTCTCCTTACCTGGTGAGCTACGCAGCACATTATCTGACACACCTGTGTATCTAGGTAAATGTGTTTTTCATTTGTGTGCACACACATGTTTGTGTCATCAATGTCGTATTCTAATTTCCTCCCCTTTTGTTTCAACAGTAGTTTAGGTAGACGGACGAAATAGTTGTACATGTATGATGCATTCCTGTGTAGTTGGCATACTTAATCTATTACCAAATTTAACTTCAATCACCTGCGTTATCTTACGTCCATCTTTCGAGATACAAGGTGGTAGACTTTCTTAATCTCCAATGTTTGCCGTAGCACTGTCAGCTACAAGTATCTCTTTTGAGTAGTGGATAATCAATGAGTCCTAGTAAGAACGACGAAACAGAAGGCTTTGAAATACCGTGTTCAAGTTAGAAAATTGTATGATATTCAACTAAAATGTTTATTGGAATAAAAACTTACGAATCTTCCCAGCATCTGAGAAACGTCGTTTTCATCCGAAGTAAATATACCTTTCTATATATATATAAAACAGTATGGATACATGATGATATCTTACTGTCTACCACAATACGCTGTGTTATTCCACTCTCAGACCATTGTATAAACACGCAGACTGTTAGATAAATATGAGTTATATCCCACACGTGGTATATGACCTTCAAGAGTTTTGATTGGTCGAGAAGATGAACTTTGACCGGGACGACTTTTTCCACGCGCTTTTTGCCACATGCTGTTTTGTTTAAGTCGTCTGCTATCAACATCCGACAAATGTTGGTGACTTTGTGAGGTTATGCGGAAAAGGGGGTTATTAAGGCAATATTAAAAGAAGATGATACTTAAAGATTTGATCGCTAGTTTCAGGCAAAATTGCTACAGACGCTCGAATTCGTTTTGACGTCACACTGTCGCGTGTCCAGGTTGTGAAACCAAAACAAGATCTGTCACAGTGTCGGAAAATATTTCCTTCTCCCAACGTCCCGTTATCGCTATTTGGACGGCCTGACTATGGCTGAACTTTCACTATAAACATCAACTATAGAACCGTCAAGAAGAAACGTAGGCCTATGGTTTTGGACATTGATAAGTTCGTCTTCGTCACTTGGCGGGAGGCAGACTTCGTACGATATGCTTACGCGCATGTAGTCTGTGGTTAATTTATATAAATTAATGCAATACTGCTACTCTCAATATTTAAAGTCGTTCATCTATTATATTTTTTCATGAAGTTGTTGCCGAAACATTAATTTTGACAATTATTAAATTTGTAAAAAAGAAGTTGTTTTTGAATACTAATGAGTGACTTTTTACATATGGGTCATATCACTACGCCAGCCTTGTTTCCGACTGATCATGAGATTGTGGTAGAAACATATCACACGACTCGTGGTTGTTGAGTATGGTATTTATTTCACTCTCGTTAGTTAATTTTCAAAAATTAAAGAAAGACACTCGCTAAAGCTCGTGTCTTTTGTAACTTTTGAAAATTAACTAACTCGAGTGAATAAATACCATATTCAACAACCACTCGCTGTGTAACCTCTATATAAACCATCGTGATAATAATGACAACAAGTCTGTTCTGGAGTGGACGGAATATATTGTCTTTTATCTTCAGACAAGTGTGATAAGTTTGAGAAGACTGTAGAGAAGAAGCCATGTGTTAGCCAAACACGTTATCTAAATGACTCTTTAATAAACTGCGTTAAATGATATTTGCTATAACTTAAAAATTGTCAACAAAATTTGAGTGTATTTAATTCATTCACCCCTGAAGACACATTTGAACTCCTCCAATTCAAAGGTTGGAATAGTTCATTATGAAATATCAGGTGTGAATGAGTTAACATGTACTTTTCTAATAACTGTACCGAAAACCTCCAGGCGACCCTGATGTCCTTGGGCTGGAGGTTCTAAGTTGCAGTCGATATCAAACTATTTTCGAGAGCTGTCAGATTACTTGGAATACCACGATCAACTAAGTAACTGACTCAAGAACTTCCGGATAATCTTGTATACCATAGTTTCTCTATTATGTGTGCATGCTTAAGTTGGTCAATGTCGCGTGTTATCTAACAGTTGCCAAGATAGACCATGTCGTCTGGCGTATCGTAGTCTATTAAACAACGGAACATAGAGCGTTGAGATGACTAGGAATATTAACGTTCCTATGACAAGATTGATCAGAGCTGACCATACATAGATTTATTCATTTGTTTCGATTACACCAGTATAGAAAGAGTTTACATGGGTAAAATGCTTTGGGTATCTTTATCATGAAAACAAGGATAATAAAACACACTGAGGCCTGTTGATCCTACATGTTTCATCGTTTGGCCCTTGGAGTTCACGCTTCTTTACTCAACAAAACTGTATGTGCAAATAAAATAGGCGAAGTGTTTTTCTGGTTACAAAAGTAATTTATTGGAATGTTTTTCAATCATTTAAGTTTGTGAATTTAAAATTCAAACCCTGTTGTTATCACAAGCACAGGCATTTTTATGATACATTAATATAAAAGTTTTTTTTTTTTTTATTAAAATCTAGAACTGTATTCGTGCGAATTAATCATATCTACACTCAAAAGTGCAATATACCTACAGATTTATTTTACACTAGTTTTGGATATCATTAATCTGAGTTGATATTGACATTAATTAATGTCTTATGAATCCTTTCACTGGTTCTGGCTAGTCGTAAACAACCAACTATTGTGATACGATTAAGATACTAATTTCCATCACAAAATGTATTAATTTGAGGGATACATGTGTGACATGTCATGTACACATGTACACATGCTACGGATAACTCAAAATTACTTGCGGATGTCGGCCGTCGCTGATGTTTATTTCACACTGGTAGAAATTGACACGTACATGATTAAAATTTACATTATTCATAGTATTAGCAACATTTGGGGATTTCAGTGAAATCTGAGCGTTGTTTAGACTTTCTTAAGGATTTAAGATTTATGCTTACAATACGGTGCTATGCGTTGTGTATGGATGCCCGAAATTGAGATGCGATAAAGTCAAAAGCGAAAATCTTTAAACTACCAGGTTCCAACGTTAAACAATTTGACCAAGGAACGTGATGTTGCAGAAGATGTAAAAGAAATCCTAATGAAACTTTAAACTCACTGTCTTCAAAAACAGATCATATACCATCCTGATTAGTATCGTCCTATCCGCATTGCAAAACGTTACCCTTTAACATGCACGCTACTGTATTGCAGCTGTTTGACACTGTACCCTGTCAACACAACCCAAAGAACATCATCCTTGTCCACACCAACATCAAACATATTGTATATGTCTGTGTATATGAATGTCGCAGCGAGACAACAATTAATGTTATTCATAGGCATTTCAGTCAGGTCTTCTTCTGTACTGCTACATGTCGGCATTTGCATGCATGCCTATTTGGATGACTTATTAACTTAAACCCTTACTAATGTGACGAATTTGCATTCACTACTGTATTGCAATTGTTTGACACTGTACCCTTCCAACATAACCCAAAGAACATCTTCCGTGTCCACACCAACATCAAACGTATGGTGTATGCCTGTGTATATGACCCTGTGAAACTCTCCACTTCCACTGATGAGTAGGATAGAACCGCTGGAACAGTCTCCTAAGACAAGATTCCCAACCCTGCCATAGGTCGCCCCACAGATGTTTCCGATTTGGTGTTTCATAATCACTGGCGCTGGAAGCATGCGTCAATTACCAGAATATGCTCAATTTCATCCCCATCCTCACAATGGTAATTCATTTCTACGACGGCGATGTTCTGGGTGACAGGATACTCCGAGATCATGTGTGGGGAGCGTACTAATGGCTTCTCGGCTCCTTCAGACATTGTCGTTAACACTGTTTCGCCGTTTGTGGTAAACTTTGAGATGCGTTTGGCCATCCCCACAATGACATGGTTGTCGGCAGTAGTACATAAACACCTTGGATTCCAGCTGGTGCTGAATTTATTTGTGGGTCGTCCTGATACCAGTTCTATAATGTTGTTTTTCTCGTCACAGACCCACAGTGTGTTTGTTCTGGGTGACAGGCTAACGGCATTCATCCAGGTATTATGTTTGATTGTTTGTATTGCTGTACCCGTCCTATCTAGGAGAATTAACTTGTTACCAGAACCTGAACTCATCCACAAATGACCGCTAGCTGAAGGACAAAACTGATAGATTCCATCTGAATTTGAATAATGCCCTATCTCTTTGGTCTGAGGCAGCAACGTGTATTCCTGCTTTAACATTGTTGTTCCTTTTAATTGTTCTGACTCTTCCATCAAACGTTCTGACTCTTCCACCGAACGTTCTGACTCTTCCACCTCCACCGAACGTTCTGACTCTTCCACCGAACGTTCTGACTCTTCCACCGAACGTTCTGACTCTTTGAAGTTTTACGTCCATTTTCATCTTGTTCTGAGGTGGACATTTCTCCTGGAGCTGGTTTCAGATGACTCTCGGGATTTCTGTTTGAAGAGAATGAAGGTTGTTCAGGCATGGTAACACGAGTACCGTTAATCTTGTGCCATGCATCGTAAATTTCAATGTTAGAGCCACGCTGAAGTACTTCCCTACATTCTTGTATCCGTTGTTTTAACACGTTGCTGTACATTTCCAGGTCCTGTTTGTATTTTTGTAGGAGTTTCGTGTCATCTGTAAGCAAATCAGGATCTTTCTAATTCTTTTTTTGTTCCTTCATCTGGTTTGAAATTTGTTCGAACGTTCTGGCATTGTCTTTAAGTTGTAAATTAGTAGAAGTGACACTTTGAGTGATTTGTACAAGGTCAACTTCCTCGATTTTGTATATGCAGTTTATAATCTCTTGTATGTTTTGGGGAATGATTTCAGAAAGCTCACACATCGGGTGGCTTATGTGTAACCCGGATATTCATTGTTTACATACAAGTTACCTACAATTTGTACAGTACCGCTCCAATTGTCTCCCTTGTGGTGGATACATGTGGTCTGACCTTTGACACGAGAAGGAACCTGACCTTTGTACATCCAGTATGTCTACTTTTAAATGTAACATTTTCGGGTATAAATCCTGGCGGACCTGCAAATGTTTATGAAGACCTTGCAAGGCTTTGTCAATGCTCGCCTGAAAGCAGCATCAGATTACCAGGTCCGACCTTATTTCATAAACGAACAACTCGATCTGGTCCAACCGATTCAACCGTTCGGATCGCGATAAACGAATGTGACCCAGGTAAACAATACAAACTGCTCACTCAGTCATAGCTTGACAAAGGGACCAATCGGTCTTGAAACATTTCGACACGTTTAATACGAACATTGTTTGATATCACTACTGGAGGATTGAATCACTCACTTGGTACTTGCAATTGGATTTTGTATATTTCACTTTCACATTTCATCCAAACAGAATGAGGCAAAGCACACATTTACACAATTTCGTTTTGCTGTCGGATTGTAGAATAGATTTTGATTATCCCCTCTGATTAAACAGGCAGGTTATATATCTGCTTGTACCTGACCAGAATTTCGGGGTATTTTACCTCCACAAACGTGCCCGGTTGTACAAATGCTATCCCCTCCTTGTTGGGCGAGGTTGCCACAGACCTTACACACGACCGAGTCAGTCGATTGCGTTTGCAGTAAGGCAATCACAAATCATTTTTAAACACATATGATTCTGCAGTTTGTCGTTGTCCTCGTCAAGCCAGTAACGTGCATTTCGCATAACTTACCTTGTACTCACATAAACATTGTTTATATATATCACATCTCCAACACCCCATATAATTATAAAAACATCTAAGATTGCATGGCTGCAAACTGAACCGAATAGATCAAACTCAGTCGACCACACGAAAGTAAAGTAGGTCAGAGAGAAAGTTTGTATAGCTGATCTTACATCTCATATCCGGTCATTTAATCCACCACTGATGTGAGGTATGTATAAGGTTATTCAAACCATCGGGATAAAATATTGAGCAGGAGACCAGAGGCTTTGCCGAGGGTCTTTTGCTCAATATTTTATCCCGAGGGTTTGAATTTATATGTGTTTTTTACCTTTTTTTCACAGCGTCAGAAGTATGTAACAAGTGTATAATTAGCGTCACTGATTGCAAGTAAACAATTAATAAATTAGGGCTTTTATGTACCCTTCCTTCTGATTCAAAAATGGTTAATATTTAGTTAGATTCCAACGTTTTGGCCCCTACAGTCACCCAGTTTACTTGGTAAGTCTTGTATCAAGAATAGCACAGTAGACTGTGCACGGCACTGCTGTAATAACGCAGTATTAGCTTGTAGATTCAAAGTTCCGTTGGTTCTGTAGAACAAAGTTTTATAAGGGGTATGAGCCCCATAGCAGCCCTGTGACATATCTTATATAACGTAATGTAAAGCTATTGTGTTACGATATTCTAGGTTTTTTGCTCTTCATTATTTTGAAATACTACAAGAGTGACAGAGTTATCTCCTCCATTGGGTCATAAAGAGATAATCCTAATTCATTAAATGACAGGTATAGATCTAATGTATATATATATCCAGTGTTTAATTTTAACATATATTACATATATCATATATCACTGTACTATGTACACGCAACACGTACTTATACAGTTCACACGCTAAATGTATGTATACACATACAATGTACCACAACAAACTGTATTGTATGTGCATACCATGACTCGCTGTGTTTTACACACGTCATAATTCATTGTACAGTATGCTTACACCATAACTCATTCCATAGTATACATATATCATAATTTACTGAATTGTATTCACATACCATAACTCATTGTACTGTGCGCATACCACCATTCACTGCTATAAATAGAATTGAATACATATATCACAATACATCAAACTATAAAGATATGGTCGCCATCATGGCCTCGTTTGCTATTTTTGTGTGATATGAAGGCCCACGGATTTTTTTTATGTTAATTAGTGTGGACATTTTCAGTACAATACGGGTCTATGACGCAATGACTGTTTCAATAAAATATGAGTTGTATAGTCTTGGGTGTAAATAGGAGCTGAGTGTGTTAAGGAGGGGTATTGCGTGATACAGGAGTGAGAGTCATGAATGTTTCAAGATGATGGATAACAGTTCAGATTTTTGAAGATAATTCGTGCTCTCGTTTTGATTTTCCGATCATGAACTTTCCCTTTCTTGACAGTAAAATCCACGCGCCCATATTGCTGTTGACTCGGTCGGTATTCGAGAGTTTGGTGCAAATAACATAACTTCATGTCATCATGTTACAATTGAGGTCCACTGCTGACAGACAAAGTTACAACCACGGAATTAGATCTGATGTTAATTAAGACTATCATGTTACACGTTTTATGGCAGTCATCATGATCTTATAGGGAAAAAGACAAAAAGGCAAAAGACACTAGCCTTCCGGAACCCCTTGTCACATGTTCTTCAAGGGTCTCCACACCTTTGTTCATAATTTATCTAATTTTTATCGATTTTGCGTTCGAGCTATGGGTTTCTTGACACTTTGTTATTATTTTTTTGAACTACCTTCGCACCAACAAAAAAGTTTTATTCTACTGTTTAAAATCATAGCTATCATATATTGCCAGGGGGAACTTATTGAAAACTCCTGCTTAAATCCTGACATTTCAATCATTACTACATATTCATATATGTTTTCGCACAATTTGTATAATCAATAAAACGCACTGGTATACTTATCAATTGATTTTATATAAACTTTAAAATCGCTGTCGTTTAACTTCAAAACGAATAGGCCTACATATTTATCAGCAAATTGTTCAAGTGCCTACACACAATTTATGTCCCAGCTACGCAAACATATTTATGATTTCTTTAAGTTTTATCCATTTGAACACAAATGGAGGACGAATACAATTTCGGTTCAAGGGTGTCGAGTTTTAGGACATATGCAAGTCTATAAGCTGTACTGCACACGTTACCATATCATTTTGCACACGTTCAAACCTAATCTTTGTCAAATCAGCGTTTGTTCCACGCGGAGTTTGATCAGCCGGCGTGTAGTAGGACGGAGATTTCGGAGTTCAAAGGTGTCAGGAGGAAAAAAGAAAATGTCGGAAACTACAGGAAAGGTATAAGAAAATACTATGCATACGCGCATAAAATCCTTTAGTTTTTAGTGTATGCCTTTATCAATATATGTTCCGATTACAAGGGGTGTAGCAAAAGCACTGTCAACTTTTTGTTGACCCAGAAAATGACCGTGCCGGTACTCCGGTCACAGTAATAATCTGACGGCGCGGTCAGTTTCTGTGTTTATTATGCTAGAGTCAGTGTCATCTGGTTGTTTACCTCCAGTGACCTACTCTTATTGACATTGGGTGGGAGATAAAGTGATATTTTTTCTGTTTAAAAGTTACTTCCCTAGACTAATTCATGTTATATTTCCTGGTGCCTGTATTGTAAGACCATATATTATATGGCAAGGCACAGGCTTACACAACACTTGTCAGGCCTGTCCTTGAGTATGGGTTTAATGTTTGGGACACCAGTTTGCCAGATTTGCTACTGGGGATAACTACTCCAGATATCCTGGATGTGTGACAAGTATCGTACTGCCAGCTCAGAGCTGACTTGGGAACCACTCGAACATAGGACAGCTAGGAACAGTTGGTCATATTCTACAAAATTATCTACAACATTGTAGAAGTCCCTGTCCACCATCTCCTGACGGTCCGGACACGTGGATCCAATGCTTGTAACATCAAGCAAATCAGCACCAGGTTAATGCCTACAAGTATTCCTTCATCCAAACACAATAAGAGATGGGATACAATCCCTCGTAATATCTTTAACAATATTAATTGTAAATGAATTTTAGCTGTTCTCCCACCTGGTACTGGAGTACATAGACACTCTGCTAAGAGTAAGTTCCATTTGGGAAGAAGAATATATAAATTTGTGTAGAAATCTTCATGGCTTTTTTGGGGGAAGACCCCAAAGTTATGTTTGGTTTTATTTTGTTGAATTTCTAATTATAACGTTCATTGAACAGCAAACAAATTTGGGATGGTTGGAAAACAGGAAACGTCGTTATAGTAGTTTTGCCTGAATTAGGCATCATTCTTCACAAAAAAAAGTTAACATTTATTGCACCAATACAATTTTTGAAAATATTTTGATGAAAGTTTGTTCTTGCCATTTAAGGTCATTGAATGCAAAGCTGCCGTGGCATGGCAGGCCAAGCAGCCAATGGTAATTGAGGACATTCAGGTGGCGCCACCTAGGGCAGGTGAAATAAGAATCAAGGTAATAAGTAACTCCTTTGAATAATGTCCTGTTTTGAAACCTTTATATGCATGTCTATAAAACATAGTTAGGATGTTAAAGTAAGTAATCCATGAAGTGAATCTATCATTTTATTTTTCAGGAGCTATTATTTATAATCATGACATTATTGATGATATGATAGATACACAAATTCTAACATAAAACAAGTAGAAAGTTGATAAAACGTAAGGCTCAGATATAATTTAAACACACTGTAGACTAGTCCGAATTATTTTTGATGTTTTATCAACTTTTTTTATATCGGTCTGTCGTCGATTAACCGACGACAGACCAATATAAAAACAGCCAATACAACGTCAGAATAATTCGGACTAGCTGTAGACATGATAATACTTTATTGAAGAGTATTATTATGTATTTGTTACAGCATGTTTCCACTTTGGGTTGAATTAAAAATGGTTGCATAGCAAATGTTTGACTTAAACTTTCTTATTGCTTTCAGAGAAAATATGTAACTATGATGTTAATTTAAGTTTGTAACTTTTCAAAATATGGAGTTTAGTTGGTGTCATGTAATGTCTATGGTTGAGTTAGCCAGCATCCACAATTGATGAATACTTCAACTTCAATTGAAGGCCGGAGATTTTCCTGGCATATCTGCTAATTGTTCTCAATCCTATTGAACAGCAGGTCTACACCAAACCACACTTATGGAGTTTTGAACAACAGATATAGTACGTCATGCAAGCGGGGGATATATATTCCATGATGTTACCGACTGGGAACTGACTTTTGTCACAGCTGTTACTACTTTAAGTTTAAGCTGTTAATATTTAGGTGTAACCAGTTTTCTTGCCGAGTTAGGAATCTCAATGTTACGGCACTATAATAATAATAAACTGGTTTTTTTTGCTCAGTTTTACTGCAGAATACAGGCTGTTTCCCTAAGCTAAAAGTGCCTTATTTTCCCAAAATGACCAAAAACAGAGGGATGTATTCCCAAACTCAATACAAATAATGCTATATTGTCCCAATTAATAAAGGAACAGGCTATTGTAAAATTTAGGTAACAAAAACACTGAATAATGATATATTTTCATATTTATAGTGTAGAATACAACTTTATTCTCCTTCACAATACAATGTATAGAGAAACCTATTTACGATACAATGAATCCTTTTCGGAAGCATTTTGTATATATAAGTGTGAAAGGTATAGCTAGTGGGCGCGGGTTTATTTATTAGGATTTACCCCCTTTTTCACTGGGATAAATTAGGCTTTTGAGTGTAATATTTGTATTATAAATGTTGTCTCAGTTTAAAATGTATCAGTATGTGAAGGAGAGTGGTGTACAAGTAGGAGTGAGGTACCTGTAGATGTACCTGTAATACATCTGCATTTAGTGAGTATACTGATATTATATAGGACAAATGATGTACTTCTGATATAAATTTTGCATCACTGTATGATATTTATGGGTGCAGTGCCTTAATATTTGTGAATTTACATATATGTGACACAGTTAATTAGTTTCCTATTTACTTGATATGGACTTTAATTTCTGGAACCAATTAATATCGTCTTTATATACATTTGGCACTGCACCCATTTTCTTGTGAATAATGTTGATTTCTATAATAAATGTTAACTGGCCTTTTTTGTCTGGTTTTGTTATGGGCGGTTGGGTTGATAATTCTGATAGTACTTTAGACGTTGACATACCTCTATTGTCGGCCATCTTGTCAAGTGCGGCGTATGGGTCCATGGTTACTTGAAATCAGCCAAATTAGACGAACTGTTCGTAAGGTTCACAAAATTTTCTCTACGTGTAAGTCCAGTTTTAGATGAAAAGAAACATGTTGCCAAATTTCGCCATCTTGTAAAACATTTGGATTGAGGAAATTTGCTAAATTTGTCCCTCTCCATCTCTGTACGTGTTACCTGTACGGAACACTACTCACTATCCAATTTATAGTGTAGACTACAAGATACCAGAGCATTTCATGTCAGGGTTCAATTTCAAGGTCATGATACAATTTGCAGGTCAATTTCATTACTTGTATCAAATTTCATGCTGTCAAAGTCAATATCTGACAGCGTCCAGTTTCAAAGTCCATTTTAAAAGTCAATATTGAAATAATGAGATTTTGAGGTCAATTATTCAGTGTTATGGTCAATGTCAAAATCAGATTTTCAGATCAAGAGTTTATACAGTTTCCAAGTCAATAATGAATAATATAAAGTTCTCCATTTTGTTATCAAATTTAACTTTTAGATCAATGTCCGTAACCATTTAGGTGTCTTATTCATAAACAGGATCTATTGAATATCAGGTCGTAGTTGTGGGAACCTTATAACGTAAGAAATATTTTTACTTTAGCTTTTTCAGTTTGGCAAGCATGGCTGTAGTTACGGTATTAAAGGAAATGCTTCAGAAAACTCAGCACTGCAATTCCTATAGAGAATCTTGTTCAGCAATGCTTGCCTGTGCAAAATCTTCAGTTAAGGAATTTCCTTTCAAAATTAAATATGAAACATTTGTTTTAGGTTTTGCACACTGGTGTGTGTCACACTGACGCCTACGTCCTTGACGGGTTTGATCCAGAGGGCATATTTCCTGTTGTCCTGGGCCATGAGGGTGGGGGTATTGTAGAGAGTGTGGGCGAGGGTGTCACCAGTGTACAGACAGGTAGGTAGTATTGTGACTACATTTCAAGATGGGTTATAATGGCAAGGGTGTGAGGAAGTTCTAGGGTAAAGTGTTGAAATTTTAGATAGCAACAGCACCCAAAGTTTTAAAGTTTCTGGATTTGATTTTAGTATTACTGTATCAACAAAAATGCATTATTTGTGTAACTGACATAATTCAAACAGCAAAAAAATGCATGTCTGCACAAGTATACTTAATATTTATTACTTTTTCAATTTTTGTTTCTGTTTTTTAGGTGACCATGTTATTCCGCTGTACATACCTCAATGCTACGAATGTAAATTCTGCAAAAGTCCGAAGACAAACTTATGTGGCAAGATCAGGTACTCCTGCTCAGAAAATGTTAGGAATTAACATCCTCCCATTGTCATTCAGAGTGAATCTCCATAGTATTTATTGAGAGTATCATGTTTAACTCATTCACCCCTGAAGACACTTTTGAACTCTTTCAATTCAAAGGTTGGAATATATCATTATGAAATTTCAGGGGTGAACGAGTTAAGTGCACACAGACCTGTGTGATAAGAGTCAGCTCTTTCAAAAAGCAGCTGTACTTTGGAAGTAAGAGGTTTCTTTCTAAATTTGAGCACCCGAGTTAGCTTGAAAAACACAAAAATAATCATTATTGGCAAAATGTTCTGCTGGAAAAAAAACAACGGTATAGTGTATCAATAATCAGAAACCTTTTTAAAGATTTTTTTTTTATTGATGCCAAAATTGATAAGACAATTCATTGGTTAACATTCACAGATGACACAGTAAAAAAAATGGGCTGAACAGGTATAATTCTTCATATGAACTATAGTTCACTAAACAATTGAGAGGTAATTTACAACTGGCCTAATTAAAAGGCTTTTAGTACCATTTAATGACTATTCAGTTTTCAATTAAAAGAACTTTGGATTTATAGATTCAAAGACTCCAGGTACTTGATACATGTTGGTTTGTTTAATTTGGTTATGGTAGTAAATCAAAAACTTATTGGATAGAGTAAGTATGAAATGACATTTTGAATCTTTTACAGGTCCACGCAGGGTGCTGGTTTGATGCCAGATGGGACATCACGCTTCACATGCAAGGGAAAGCAACTGTTCCATTTCATGGGCTGTAGTTCCTTCAGTCAGTATACAGTGGTAGCCGAGATCTCCGTCTGTAAGGTATGATGCGTAGATTTGATAGAAATCTTTGACTTTGCAGTTAGATTGACAAATCACAGTAGAATGTAACAACCAGTATTATTTTATTTGACTTATTAAACAGACACCCCTTCTCCCGCAAGTGCTTCTGTCTGCTTTTCTGAAAAAATGACCAACTTAATTTTCCTGCTTTTAAAATTTTGTTGTTTTCCCTTTCATTGCTCAGGATTATTGAAGGTAGATTAACCATTTTGTTTTATTCGACTGTTGTCTACTTCGATTTGAATTCTTCTAGTCAATTAACAAGAATAAAAACCATTATATGAATGGACTATAAACAAACTAAGAACATATTTCCAAAAGAGTAGAAAAAAATATGGTATACCTTCAATTTAACGATCAGTGGAAAACTTCAAGGAAACTTGTCCAGTAACACTGATGTTCCTAATGTGGCGGCACTTAATGACAGCAAGATGGTCACAATCGATCAAACAGCATTTTCACCCCTGCAGGTGGGGGATCGGGAAAGGAATACACATGCTGTTACCTACTGCATGTATCGTAGGAGGCAACTAATGCAGGAACCCCCTGCAGAATTGGGGATTTGTTTTGGCGTCATCTATTTGGGGACACGAAAGTGACCAAAATAAATCTGCTGAGCCCATTGGGAACTTTCTCTCTCTTTACTAATTCTAATTACCTTTTATTTCATAACGCCTTCTTGTCAACACCTCACGTTTGGCCTTAATGTTGAGTGGTCGCCCAAAGTGAGGAAGGCAATATGTTCTGTTCCCAGACCGGGACATACCAAAGTCCTTAAAAATGGTAGTTGTTATTCCCTGCTACTCGTTCAGCATTTAGGGGAATGGCAACAACTGGTTTACCCGTTGTCAGTATAATGTGACTGGTCAAAATGCTGTGCTGGGTGCCTTCGACAAGGTATTTCAGTGAGATAGCACTATAAAGTTGGCATCAGATCCTTGCTATCACAAGGAGGCAAGCACGCCAACATACCCTGTCTCCTGCATACACACACGCATACACTACACACATGGAGGCACGTCCCTAAATGACCTTAGCTGTTAATAAACAAAATTAAACCAAATCAAACTAATCAAACAGCATTTTGATGGGCTTTTGATTGTGATGTCATAATATAATGCTGTCACCTGATTGTGACGTCATAATAATAAAAGACACTAAGGGCTGTTCCAGAAAAAAAGACATCCCGCCCTGGGACGGCAAACTTTTTTTGTTAACGTGGGTGGTTGAACATTGAATAAAATCGTAGTTATTGGTTGTTGTTGTTGTATTTTCGTTTCTGTGGGTCGTTGTACGTTGGAGAAATAAAAAAAAATATTTAAAAAATAAATAAAACCTGATTAATTAATTTACATGGTGGTGTGATATGAAAATATCTGGTTGAAGCTCGAATGTAGATTTGCGTTATTGAAATACGTGCTGAAACTTTGGCAGCGTGACATTACTGTATCGCTTGCAAGTCGCTTCCGGTATGTGGGTCAAGGGATGCAACTCCTATGATAAAAAAAATCAATCTTGATAGAGGGCGCTGTTATCACTCTTCACAAAAATGGCTGCCCATTCGCGTGGTTGGAGCCCGGAAGATGTGGGAAGATGGATGGCGAGGCATGGTTTAGGCCAATTTTCCGCCTCGTTTATCGCATTCTCTATGTATATAATATATAGCAAAAGCACAAAAAGAATACAACACATATATATATATTAAACTAAATTTTAGTTTATTTATATCAAATGATAGTAAAACAACGGTAATTATTTAATTTAATAGTATATGGGTATAAATTAACTATTTAAATAACATGGTATGTGGGTACTACTTTTTTTTTCCCTTTTTTTTAAACTAAAAAACAATTGTGGGTCGTTGGTATGGAACAAAATTCGTAATTACGGGTGGTAGGGGTCAGCTGATTATTGAAGTTATGGGTGGTAGGGGTCTGGAAAAAGTGCCGGCCCAGGGGGGGATGTCTTTTTTTCTGGAACAGCCCTAAGGACTAAACCTGAATTGATCAAATGGTGAGAGGCACACTTGGGGATTTCATGGGTGATGGGGTCCCTGATAAAATGCCATCCACCCCTCTGATGTGGTAAGTTCTGAAGCAGCCCAGGTGTACCCATGTGGGACACACGTATCTTACAGTTCTAGAGTTTTGAGAAAATATAAGACTGGTTGGGTGTTTTCGATCAGGTTGTTCCTGAAGCTCCGCTGGAGAAAGTCTGTTTGCTGGGATGTGGTATCTCCACAGGGTACGGAGCGGCTCTCAACACTGCTAAGGTACGCAATCACTTACTACTATACCGAACTAATCATCATTAACTTCAGCAAATTAAAACTTTAAAAGTTTATTCGAAAGTCATACATTATTAATGCATTCACCCCTGAAATTTCTTAATGAACTGCTCCAACCTTTGAATTGGAAGAGTTAATTCAAATGTGTCTTCAGGGGTGAATGAGTTTAACCACATAGTCCAATTTTGTTCAACTAGAGACGTTTTCTGTATGAATATATATCATTGTTTTCGTATCAATAAATGAAGTAACAGTGTTCCTGTGCTCCAGGTTATCTTTCTGTATATATACATGTATTTATTTGGTGTCAATAAATGAAGTACTAGTGTTCCTGTGCTCCAGGTTATCTTTCTGTATATATATATTTATTGTGTTGGTGTCAATAAATGAAGTAATAGTGTTCCTGTACTGCAGGTGGAGCCAGGTTCTACCTGTGCTGTTTGGGGGCTAGGAGCCGTCGGATTAGCTGTTATTATGGGCTGTAAGAAGGCTGGTGCTGGACGCATCATTGGCATTGACATCAAGGAATCAAAGTTTGAGTTGGGTAAGTTGGTGTTCATAAACAGGCAGTTCATAATCTGATAAAGATATGGTGTCTGTAATGAAGTTTCTTTCAATACAGCTTGAAAATATGCAAAATTAACATACAAGAGACACCATTGGCAATTAAATATGGGGAAATTACATTGTTTCTGTTGTTGAGAAACAGGTTGATTTACATGTAATTTTTACCAAGATCTGTAACTTTTCCACTGGCGTGATTTCCTCCCCTTGTTTGGTTTTAAATGTTTGTTGAACAACATACATTGTTAAAAACAGATTTTTAGGTAACATAAGTTGAAAACTCATGTGACCTACTGCAACTGTGTTTTGGTGTGCAATTGTCAACAATTCACGTTTTGAATTTTTTCTCCAAAAAACCTATCGTGTAAAAGCATATATTTTCGTTGGGGTTAAATTTCGTTGTTTTTATATGGGGATAAATTTGTTGGGATTATATTTCATGGAATCAATATTTTAAAATCCTGTCATTTTTCTGGTAAGTAAGAAGTTAAAATTGACAGGCGTGACGACACAGTACAGCTAAATATGGTACAGGTAAGACCAGGCGAGATTTACTCACTCGATAGGTAACGGTCAAATCCATCCTGTTCTATAGCTTATAACAAACAAAAAATACAAGACGGGGTAGAGATCAAGAAAGTTTCAGCTGATTTGCAAATCATTGTTTTCAAACAATTGTGGGTCTCAACCCCTAAACAGAGTATCAAGTCTTGGAATGGGAAAGATACATTTCTGGAATACCTGAATACTTGTTACAGAAATCATTGTGAAAAATTACAACTTGACACATGTACCAATATTTATCATTCAGGTAAGAAGTTTGGAATGACGGAAGGTCTGAACCCTAAGAATCATGAGAAGCCAATCCAACAGGTGATCGGAGACATGACTGATGGAGGATGTGATTATACCTTCGAGTGTATCGGCAATGTTGGAACCATGGTGAGTGTTGCAGGGTCCAAACAATAGGAATAAATGCTGTTTGAATTGTCTGTACTGAAGGAATTCTAGCTTGTTAAACAAGATCTTTTATGTGGTGGATTTTCAAATTTCTTAGCTTTGTCAGTACATAAGCTGATCATGAAGACACTTGAAAATATTTACTTACCTATTTCAAAACAACAAACAGGGAAACATGTGTAAATGTTATGATATACTTAATTTATGGAAGTTTGGAGAAAATATATCCACAAACTTTGTATTTCCATTGAAACATTTGTTGCTTATCTGCCCATGCCATATTTTTAACCAACAGAGGGCAGCACTGGAGTCATGTCACAAGGGATGGGGTGTGTCAACCATTATCGGTGTCGCAGCAGCCGGCCAAGAGATCTCCACGCGGCCATTCCAGTTGGTCACAGGTCGTGTGTGGAAAGGATCAGCATTTGGAGGTGAGGATTACCTCCCTTGGTCTACTTGGCAAGACTTTGGTTTAGCATTGAAGTTGTTTAATCACTGTGTAAATGTACACCAACATACCATTTATAGAGAAGTTAATCTATCCTTGGTCAAGTGGTGCAATGGATAGCGCAACAAGAGTGGTTAATATATAAGTTGAAATAACTCGTTTCATAATTGCTGTAAAATAAACAAAGTTTGTATTTTTTATCACTCCTTAAAATTGATATTGTGGTTCAGCATTTCCCACTACTTGCATATGATATAAACATAAATTCGAAAAGCAGTTTCAGCCACAAAAATGACATTTTACTTCAATCTTTCTCGAACAGCCTCATCAAACACTGGTTCTAAGCCTGTGAATGTAGGAATATTTTGTTGAGTTCTGTCTGATAAAGAGAGATGTGAGGTCTAAGGATGTTGGTGGAGAAGTAGTTGTCCCTAAACCAACAAAAGAAAATGAAAAGGGTAAAATTTCTTCAGTGTAAAAGACATGTTCCCCAATCTCTATCCAGGCTGGAAGAGCCGAGAGAGCGTGCCGAAACTGGTCCAGGAATATATGAACAAAGAGATGATGGTGGACGAGTTTGTTAGTCACAGCCTTCCTCTGACAGAGATCAACAAATCGTTTGACCTCATGCACGCAGGTGAAAGGTGGGTCAGCATCTCATGGTTCTTCACTGAATACTGTATGCCCAGAAAGTTTTGCTCCATCTTTTTCGTCCTCCGCAACAAGGACGAACTTATCCTGAAAGTGAACACTGGTTCACAGCATACCATATATAGTTATAATTATGCATCTAGAGTGAAAGTGAACACTGGTACACAGCATACCATATATAGTTACAATTATGTATCTAGAGTGAAAGTGAACACTGGTACGCAGCATACCATATATAGTTATAATTATGTATCTTGAGTGAAAGTGAACACTGGTACACAGCATACCATATATAATTATAATTACGTATCTAGGGTGAAAGTGAACACTGGTACACAGCATACCATATACAGTTATAATTACGTATCTAGAGTGAAAGTGAACACTGGTACACAGCATCCCATATATAGTTATAATTATGTATCTAGAGTGAAAGTGAACACTGGTACATATAGTTATAATTATGTATCTAGAGTGAAAGTGAACACTGGTACACAACATACCATATATAGTTAAAATTACGTATCTAGAGTGAAAGTGAACACTGGTACACAGCATACAATATATAGTTATAATTACGTATCTAGAGTGAAAGGGAACACTGGTACACAGCATACCATATATAGTTACAATTATGTATCTAGAGTGAAAGTGAACACTGGTACGCAGCATACCATATATAGTTATAATTATGTATCTAGAGGGAAAGTGAACACTGGTACACAGCATACCATATACAGGTATAATTACGTATCTAGAGTGAAAGTGAACACTGGTACACAACATACCATATATAGTTAAAATTACGTATCTAGAGTGAAAGTGAACACTGGTACACAACATACCATATATAGTTAAAATTACGTATCTAGAGTGAAAGTGAACACTGGTACACAACATACCATATATAGTTAAAATTACGTATCTAGAGTGAAAGTGAACACTGGTACACAACATACCATATATAGTTAAAATTACGTATCTAGAGTGAAAGTGAACACTGGTACACAGCATCCCATATATAGTTATAATTATGTATCTAGAGTGAAAGGGAACACTGGTACACAGCATACCACATATAGTTATAATTATGTATCTAGAGTGAAAGTGAACACTCCCACACAGCATACCATATATAGTTATAATTATGTATCTAGAGGGAAAGTGAACACTGGTATACAGCATACCATATATAGTTATAATTATGTATCTAGAGGGAAAGTGAACACTGGTATACAGCATACCATATATAGTTATAATTATGTATCTAGAGGGAAAGTGAACACTGGTACACAGCATACCATATTTAGTTATAATTATGTATCTAGAGGGAAAGTGAACACTGGTACACAGCATACCATATTTAGTTATAATTATGTATCTAGAGGGAAAGTGAACACTGGTACACAGCATACCATATACAGCTATAATTACGTATCTAGAGTGAAAGTGAACACTGGTACACAACATACCATATATAGTTAAAATTACGTATCTAGAGTGAAAGTGAACACTGGTACACAGCATAGCATATATAGTTATAATTATGTATCTAGAGTGAAAGGGAACACTGGTACACAGCATACCATATATAGTTATAATTACGTATCTAGAGTGAAATTTACACTGGATATTTATTTGACGGGTGAAAGTTTTCCAGTATTCAGTAATTTCAAAATAGATTTTGAGTGTTTGCAAGTACCCCAGTTTTAACTCCCTAAATTTTGGCATCTGACATTGTGTAATACGGAAACTGAACGAAGACAAACAAAATATTTGACATGAATATTTGGTAGTGACTTTCCCAGACTCTGAAATTTCCGGCCTTACCATCCCAAAACTTGACATACATGTAGGCACATCCTTAAATGACCATAGATGTTAATATGATGTTTAACTCTATAAAACCAGACCAAACACAAAACTTGAGAATCTTTGAGAGAGACTAACTTAGGAGTATCTTGTTTCAAAAGCCATGTTGCCTGAGAACTTTATCTTTTAACCCTCCATGTACTGTTGTCTAGCATACTGGACAAAGTATTTTGAAACCAAGTGGTCACTCTTTGTAAAAAAGATGGAACGTATTTGTGAAATGAAACTTAAAAATACATGATCATTACAAATTTTAGGAGAAATATAAATGGGTAAAATATTAAGAATTTTACATAAAAGTAGTTCTTTATGAGAATGGATCCAGAGAGAAGATTTACATGAATAGATTGATAACAAAATGGAACTCGAAAATGATAGATAGTACAGAACGATTCTGTGATAGGCCAGCCTTCACCAGGTTGTTCTAGATCAAGTTGACCACAGTGATCATGAAGTGTCTCCCATGGGGCTGGACATTGAAGTTTGCAGGCAAAATTCTGTACCAAAATATGATGTTGTTTTCCCTGTTCTTTTTGTTACAGCATTCGAAGTGTTTTAGACCTGCACTGAGGAAACACCTCTAGTCAATTACCGCTCACAGCCAAGGGCCGACACTGCTGTTGATTTTAACTGTTGGACACAGTAACAGCTACTGATGGCTGCTAATATCAAGATCGATTTATTGTTCCGTGAATCTGTAATTATTGCTAATCAGTACAATGTTTTATTATAATGATTAATGATGATGATTTTTACTTTGAATACCTGTATGGTGGTAGTGTAGTACTTGTGGATTGGTTGGCTGGCTATTGTCTGCAATGATTTTTGAATCAATATGTTTGAGAGTAAGAACACTGTAATCTTTAGTCGTGGGAAGCAAAAATATCTCTGATCAGTGGTTAGCACATTCATTTTAAAATTAAATACAGAATTTTCTCCCATTTCATATTAAATTTGTTTTCTAACCACACATCAATCAATTCGGTCAAAAACTGTTGCAAATCTTACTGTTTTCTTTTGTTTCAAAATATCTTTTATCCTGATGTTCAAAAAGGAATATTGAAGAGAGAAAAAATGCAAAATGTTTGATGATTAAAAAAACAAGAGTGCATTTTTGAACTTAAGTGATTTGGTTGAAACTGTATATAGTAACAAAGGTTTGTGCGTTTCAAATTCAACAGGGTATATAATTATATCAAAATGGTGTTTTTTGTGACTTGATGCTTGTTCAGTGCCATGTAATTATAATGTACTAGAAATTTTAATGCAAAGTACGCAAATGTTTCATTGGTGATGTGCTATATGTGTATAGCTTGCACAATAAATTATTATAATGTTTTTTCAAAGCTTTGCCTAGCTTTTCTTACTTAAGCAGGACCAGAAACATTCCCCCAGTTACATGTGTGTGTGTATGATGACTTACAGAACGAATGTCACTTATCTAAGGTTGTGTGATAAGTGGAGGGACTCACACAAAACAAAGCTAGCCTGTAATACACCAACTGAAGGTTGTCGTACAGCAGTACATGTAGTTACATTATACATTGGGCTTCATTGCTTGATGTGTTGTATCCAAATTTGCATTAATGGCTTTCTGCAAAAGTTTTGTTTAATTTTTATTTCCATCATTCAAAACTTTCAGGGGAGACTAATTTCCAGTGCCCAGTTGTTCAAAAGATGATGAGCTTATCACTGTTTAACGACATTTTTCAATCTCTAATAATTTGGTTAACATACAGGGTAAAAACTCATAATTTTGTATGTAATTTTGCTCTACTTAAATATTTTCTGTATGGAAATGTTTCACGCAAGTAAATGTTTTTTTTATAAATATACAAACAATAAAATTTGCACTAATCACCTTTTGAACATCTGGGCCTAGGTTTTTTAACCAGCAAGAAAATTTCTGATTTCGTTAAATATATTTAATGTCTTAAGTTAAATATATTTAATGTCTTAAAATATTAAAATTGATTCATTTATATGTAACAATTTTACTGTTGGGGCAGTTGAAAACATGAAGCATTTACAAAGCATTTGTTATGGTGTTGATGACACCACACGGGCATTATTGTACATCTTGTTTGAATCTTCGGGTCAGAAACTTGCCAATTTATGTTTTCTATCTCCGAGTTTACATGAACAACAACAAATTTGTTCTGTGGGTCAGTGCATCATGCCTGCCACAACTGTCAATTAGAAATAGTACTGGATATTTACATTATATAGGCGACTTGTAAAGGTTTTTGCCAGTATTGAAACATTTTTTATTTGCAATTGTTAGTAATTACCTCCCGATGCTGACGATTTAATGTTTGCTCTTTTGAAGCTTTAACCAAACATTGGATTATTTTTGTTGTTGATTATTAATTTAGTTTCCTTGATTTAAACCTCTTGGGGGTTGTCCTCGATGTTCAGCCTGCAGACAGTGAATGTGATTATGTACTAATTTACAGGTATATTGTGGCCAAAAATTAATTATATTAGCTTGACCAGGGAAAAGGTGCTAACACATTTTTACTTATGACGAGTTGTGCATGTACCTTGCTCTTACAATAATACAATATGATAATAACACCATTAAATTTATTTTACATGACTGGCACAATTGTATTTTTCAAAACGGAATAAAAATTTAAATTATTTTCCGTGAGTACTGTTGTTTTACATCCATGCTTGACACTCTTGAACCCAGGGGTCTGTTGGTTTATGCGGAACAAAGCTTCAGCAGGCCTTGCAAGGCTTGGTCAAAACGGTACAGATGTAACAATAGGCCTTAATTAAGGGCCTGTATCGTTCGTCTCTATCAAACAAAATGGGTCAGTTTGGTTTGGTTTGGTTTATGTTTAACGTCCTATTAACAGCTTGGTCATTTAAGGACAGCCTCCCGTGTGCAAGATGCATGCGTGTAGTGTATGCATGTGTTTTGGGAGGCTGGGATATGTTAGTGTTTGTCTCCTTGTGATAGCGCGGATCTGATGCCGACTTTATAGTGCTACCTCACTGAAACATACTGCCGAAGACACCCAGCAGAATACCCCCAACCGGTCACATTATACTGACAACGGGCGAACCAGTCTTCCCACTCCTAAATTGCTGAGCGTTAAGAAGGAGTAGAAACTACCATTTTTACAGACTCTTGTATGTCTCGGCCAGGGGACGGAACCAAAAGCATTCCTCACAGGGGCGAACGCTCAACTAAAGGCCAAAAGTGAGGCATTGTCAAGTGAGACACTAGGTAGAAGAAAGTTTTTTAGAAATAAGAGAAAAGATAAAATCCCAAATTTAGTTCCCTCTTACGATCATGCAATGGGGGCAGCAGGTACAATTCCTATGCCCAACCTGCAGGGATAAAAATTGGTCAGATTTAACATATCTAACACTACAGTACCTTTACTCTTATTGAGTCTTTGTTGGAAGATTTTAACAGGAATGATCACCCTGAAAGTTTGTATATGTTATATAAGGTAAAGGGTACCACTGCATCCCTTGTAATCGAGAAGAATAGTTCCTCTCCAAGATTCTTTTGACTCTTGAGTATTCTCCCTTCTTATTTTAACAAATATTTCATAATCGTGACAATATAGTTTATTTTGTTGGTACACTTTACCTTAAATGAACAAACTTGATTTCCACTCACTTGGCCCTTGTCTATTTTAACGAACTTGAAAGTCCTTTATCTCGGCGTGCTGCTAGCTTAGTTATATAATTAGGATCATTAACCACATAGTATGCTGGCCTGTATCATGGCGTGCTGCTAGCTTAGGATCATTAACCACATAGTATGAAGGCCTTTATCTCGGCGTGCTGCTAGCTTAGGATAATTAACCACATAGTATGCAGGCCTTTATCTCGACGTGCTGCTAGATTAGGATCATTAACCACATAGTATGCAGGCCTTTATCATGGCGTGCTGCTAGCTTAGGAACATTAACCACATAGTATGCAGTCCTTTATCTCGGCATGCTGCTAGCTTAGGATCATTAACCACATAGTATGCAGGCCTTTATCTCGACGTGCTGCTAGCTTAGTTATATAATTAGGATCATTAAACACATAGTATGCAGGCCTTTATCATGGCGTGCTGCTAGCTTAGGCTAATTAACCACATCGTATGCAGGCCTTTATCTTGGCGTGCTGCTAGCTTAGGATCATTAACCACATAGTATGCAGGCCTTTATCTCGGCGTGCTGCTAGCTTAGGCTAATTAACCACATCGTATGCAGGCCTTTATCATGGCGTGCTGCTAGCTTAGGAACATTAACCACATAGTATGCAGGCCTTTATCTCGGCATGCTGCTAGCTTAGGATCATTAACCACATAGTATGCAGTCCTTTATCTCGGCGTGCTGCTAGCTTAAGATCATTAACCACATAGTATGCAGGCCTTTATCTCGACGTGCTGCTAGCTTAGGATCATTAACCACATCGTATGCAGGTTATCATGGCGTGCTGCTAGCTTAGGCTAATTAACCACATAGTATGCAGGCCTTTATCTCGACGTGCTGCTAGCTTAGGATCATTAACCACATCGTATGCAGGCCTTGAATTGGTTCTTAAAAAGAAGGCAATCAAATGTTACTGCAAATTTGGCCTCTATGACCTTGAAAGTCGGCCAAGCTCATGCCATCCAAGCATGCTACCGATCAAATATCACATTGGGATTTTGTCAATTCTGAAGAAGTTGTTAAAATGTGAACACATCTCACTACTGTGATCTTTACTTGAACGTGGGTCAAGGGTATTCATTTGATAGTGATAGCAGTTTTCGGTATGTGTGTAATTCGTCATTTCGTACATGTATTTAACAACGACGTGAATCGACGACGAATTTATATCGCCAACTCGTACGTCGTTTACACATTTGTGTACACACGCTTCATTGATCATTGGTCTGATTAACGTATCGTACTAGTCATCGAAACGTCACACATAAACACTTACTGGCTGTGATACCTAACCTTTCTACAATTCATACTTACCAACCTGAAGAAAATGTTTAGAAATGATAGCACTTACTCGCATATACTGCACGTAGACTATCACTTCGAGTCGCTGAAGTAACTTAGGTTTTAACACGTCTGCCCCCTTTGACCTAGGAGGTGGGTCGAAGTTATTATTTGATCAGTCTTGGTAGTTCATCACCACGGTATGCTTTAGTTATACCAACTCCACCTGACTTTGTCTCTGGATTATTTATGATTTTGTTGAAAGTGTTCACATGTTCCAACTTCCTACACCGTCTTTCCAGCACGCTTTTAGCCAAATATCACAGACGTAGACTTTTTGGTAAAAACTCTTACAGTCACCACGGAATTAGATTAGCTAAGTCCGTGCAGTCACAAAATACTATACGTATATCACTATCTACACGTTTTATGAACCCAGACTTTCCGCGCATGGTTGTCCCTTTTCTTTAACGATGTTGATGCTTAGCCTATGTGGTGAATTGCACCTGGAAAAAAATAGAAAGTAAAAGAACAAAAAAGCACCTAAAAAACCCACATTAAAACTGGCTAAATACATTCGGCCCATTAAGTTGCCGGTAGCACTTCCAACATCCTCGATTTCCAGGGGTTACGATCTGACGTGATCCTTGAAATCGAGGATGCACTTCCAATGAAAAAGGAGGCTGGTTTGTTGGTCAAATCAATGAAAGTTTGGCCCAAAGACCTATCATTACATACATTCAATGGGTCGTACAATGATCAGAAATTTTAGATCACCCCAGACAAAGTCTCAAGTGACCTATTGCGATCGCCTTTTGTCCGGCTCCGTCGTGCGTCCGTAAACAATTTACATTTTCGACTTCTTCTCCAAAACCCCTGAACCAATTTCAATGAAATTTTGCAGGAACCTTCCATGGACAAAGGTCAACAAAAAGAGTGGCCGGTTTAGTCCCAAGCCCCCAGGGGCCTGAGGGGCAGGGCCAAAAAGGGTCAAATTGACTAAAATTTAAAAAATCTTCTTCTCAAGACCCAGATATGGTAGAATCAAATACTCTTCATAGATGGAAGGGTCTTAAGGTGCTTTACCAAAATTGGAATTTCTTGACCCTGGGGTCTCACGTTTCCCCCTGGAGAGGGGGTAAACTTTACTATAGTTTATATAGGGAAATCACATTTTGGACCAACATTTGTTTAATTTCCATTGGAAGTAATTCAGTTTGGGTTAGCATTATCAGTATTAGGTAGCAGTTTGATAATAAGCACATATGAGCCCTGACTGACCCCCAGGGGCTGATGGGTGGGGCCAAAAAGGGTCGAATTTACTGAAATTTCAAAAATCTTCTTCTCAAGACCCAGATATGGTAGAATCAAATACTCTTCATAGATGGAAGGGTCTTAAGGTTTATGACCCTAGGGTCTCACGTTTACCCCCTGGGGAAGGGGGGGGGGGGGGCAAAATTTATTATGGTTTATAATGGCAAATGATACTTTGAATATTACATGTTAATAACTTGATTGGAATTATAACCTTGAGTTGACAGTTTGATACTTTGAAAATTTTGAGCCAGCCCTACCCCCAAGGGCTGTAGGGTGGGGCTCAAAGGAGTCAGTGTGCTAAAATTTCTTCATTTTCCTTGTTTAGAATCAGAGGTGCTAGTTTCAAATACTTTTTAGTCTTAAATCTGTATGCTAGATATATAATAAGGTGTTTTTATTGTTTTTTGTCACTTTGAATAATATTTCTGTACATGTTAAAAACAAAATAAACTCTCTATATAAGTATATCAGGTGACCGTTAAGGCCTATGGGCCTCTTGTTGGGTTACAGCGCTACGTTGTTCCATTGTTCATTTACAAGTTAATAAAAGGAAGGATGTTCGTGGATAAAAATTTGCAACTTCACTTAGTTTTAAATACTATTAATAGCACCACATTTCATCATTAAATTTTCATCGTGAAATTGAAAAGCAATGTTCATTGTAAATGGTTTTTGCAATCTTTAAAACCACAAACATATTTAAAAAAAAACGTATTAAGCCTGCTCCTCATTACATAAACTGCATTTAACGGTTGATAAAATAGCCTATATATTATTTCTATGTGCTCTATCAAGAAAGTTCAAATAATCTTTCACTAAAGCTGAATTTTGAGGGTTTATAAGTTTGGAACTTTTATGTAGGGGATATACCTACATGTCAGAGTTAAATAGAGTAGATAAGCTAACATATAAAATAACTGGCACATATGGCGCATATACTTATTAGATACGTGAATGGCAGTGGGGCATTTGACGGGGTTCGAAACAAGGAAATGCAGAAAATGTTAGTTTCTAAAGGAAATGCTCAGATTAGGGTATGGGGTCTATATTTTAAAGACAATTTAAGAAGTCTCCTTCATAGAATGTGTTAAGTATTTCGACTTCAAGAGTACATTGTATCTCCATAGGCTCGATTTGTTCATCCGAATACTGAGTGAGAGCGTGAGTCATGGTTGTTTCACTGACTTCTAATTAATTCAGCTATATCTAGGAAAACGGGATATACAGTTTACCAGGTATAGCACTCGGAAGTGATTGTTCCTATTTCCAAAAGTCCCCACCGAGCCCCACCTTTTTCCCCCCCCCCTCGACTTTTTGAAGTTCTGCAGTCTGAAACATCTTTTATTTCCTTTTTGTTTGTATTATTTAATCCCCAATCGCACCCCTAACCATTTACACCGATGTGATGGTCTCGCTGGACTAAATATAGCTATAGGTATCTTCATCCAACGCGTACAAGGTGTATACATACCTGGTTTTTATGATTTGTAATGAATTATACATTGCAATTAAGAACCACGTCACACATTTCAACCCGACCCGTGACCTTTAGACAAGACAATCAATGGCATTAGGTTGAAAGTAGGTCAAGGTCATTAATTTGAACAAATTTGGTAGCCCTGATTGCTACAGGCCAAATATCAGTACCCCGGGCCTTTTGGTTATTGGGGAGAAGTTGTTTGAAGATTTTAAGACATTTGACACCTGTGACCTTGAAAGTTGGTCAAGGTCATTCATTTGAACAAACTTGGTAGCCCTTCATTCCAGCATGCTACTGGCCAAATATCATCACCTTAGGCCTCTTGGTTATTCAGAAGATGTTGTTTAAATAATTTGAACATATTTGACCCCTGTGACCTTAAATATAAGCCAAGGTCATTTATTTGAACAAACCTGGTAGCTCTTCAACCCAGCATGTTACTGGACAAATCTCATCACCCTAGGCCGCTCGATTATTCAGAAGAAGTTGTTTAAAGATTTAAACATATTTGACCCCTGTGACCTTGAATATCAACCAAGGTCATTTATTTGAACAAACGTGTTAGCCATTTATCCCAGCATGTAACTGGCCAAATTTATGCACCCAAGACCTATTGGTTATTCAGAAGAAGTTGTTTAAATGTTTTAAACATATTTGACCCCTGTGACCTAGAATATAAGTCAAGGTCATGTATTTGAACAAACTTGGAAGCCCTTCATCCCAGCATGTAACTGGCCAAATATCATCACCCTAGGCCTATTGGTTATTCAGAAGAAGTTGTTGAAAGGTTTTTAACATATTTGACCCCTGTGACCTAGAATATAAATCAATGTCATTTATTTGGACAAAATTGGTAGCCTTTCATCCCAGCATGTTACTGGCCAAATATCATCACCCTATGCCTCTTGGTTATTCAGAAGAAGTTGTTTAAAGAATTCAACATATTTGACCGCTATGACCTTGAAAATGGATGAAGGTCATTTATTTGAACAAACTTGGTAGCCCTTTAACCCAACATGCTTCTGGCCAAATATCATCACCCTAGGCCTTTTGGTTACTGAGAAGAAGTTGTTTAAAGTAAAATGTTGACGACGGACGGACGACGGACGCCGCACCATGCCATAAGCTCACTTGGCCCTTCGGGCCAGGTGAGTTAAAACCGGAGATCCAGCAGCTAGTTTTACCCTAGATCTGTATGGCATTGTGACCTTTAATAATATATACTCTACATTGCTAGACACTATGATACACAACGTACAATAGCAGAAGTACTTGCGATCTGATGACTCGCATCACATACACTCTTGCTACCCCTTTTTGTCATATTTATTAGTATTTTGTATACCCCCACCCAGTCCATTCCAGTCATATGCCTATAGGTTTAGGTAGACTCCGAATGATGTTAAAAATGAGTTGGCCACACAAATATATATCTGTATAGATCTGCTAGCACCCACCTAAAACATTGACAGTCACTAAGTCCGTAGTCTGGTTAACCACATCGTGTATTGTTTCATTCATGCCATATTGTATACACTTGGTAGAGTACTATATATCGACTCGTTATATAGGCTAAGTCTACATATGGACAGATATCCAAGTCCATCCCCACATTATTCACAATGGAAGATTTATTTGTAATGGAAATAACATATTTTATAAATAGTCCATCGAGCACGTGATCGTCGTCCTATAATATAACCCTTTCCAGTTTGAGCTGGATGACTGTGACGTCAAAGAAGTAAGGAAGCCAGGCACAGCTGGCAGCATATCTACCAAGAATCTTACTAGGATCCTCTGATAGCAGAAGTCATCTACAAAACGAACATCAAACATACTGTCCAGTATGTAAATTACCAAACAGCAAGCAAAATGTGTTTTATCTGTCTAAAGAACACGGAAAAGGCTATTCATGATACGCGTTATAAGGTTCAACAGGGGTTCCGTACAATTAGTGACGTTATTGCTAATAATACTTGGAGGTGTGTAAATTTCCACCAATAAGAACGAGCTGTCTTTGGCACATTGCCAGATTATTTCTGATGCAATCCAGAACTTTTTGCAATATAACTTTCCGCAGAGAAATATAGTTACGTTATAAAATGGTCAATTTGACAATCATTTTAAAACATTTATCTCTAAAATTGATTTTACACAACAGTTTATTTGAGTTTTCTCGTGATTTTGTTTAAACAAAATCTTATCTTCTCCATGGATTTATGGTTACGCAAAACCGCGGAGTAATACAACCTTCACCGGACTCGATACCCACGAGCACTACCGTCGCTGCCCATTCTCATTGATACGTCTCAAATATTCACACGAGTTTTTCTTACCCAGATTTACTGGCGAGAAAGTTATCAAAATGGCTGCCTAGTATTGGAGTGCAACCCCACCGTGCCAAAGCATCTTGCTTTGCACCAAGTTTATAATCATCATGGCGTAAGTACTTAATATTTTCATGATTTTATCAAGAAGAAGGCACAAAATTTCTGAAATATGGGGGCGAAATATGGCGCCATTTCGGTGCATGTTCGTTCGTGATAAAAACTCTTCTTAATTATTAAACTTGAAAATTAACAAAAAATTCGTATGGTTATTCGTTTCATATGTACCATTGTCTATGTCACATTTATCTTCAAAGTTCTTTTACTCGGATATAATTATATATCAGTAATCTGTTAAATGGAGACCCGTAGGCAAAGACTGTTGTCTAATTATTAATTTTTAATAAGTGAATCTTTTTTTAATATTAAGTGTAAGAGTTATCGTTATCTCTGTATTTCAAATGGAAGTATACATAACGGTAAACTAAATATTTTGAAGTGAATCTTCAATGTCCTGCAACATTCTCCTGAATTATTTTGGTTTTACAATAAATTGTGTTTTTTTTTCAGGTCCCACGTTTCTTCACTGCTTGCCCTGGCAATTGCCACCGGATTCCTCGCACCTACAGAAACCATACAATTTGTTCCTAAATCAATTTCTTCAGAAGACTCTTCAGATGACAAATATGGAGTTATTCGACATGGAAACGCTTCGCTCCGAATTTCTGGTGGGCGACCTTGCTGGGTCGTTCCCTCAGAGTTCGGGCGATGACGATATATATGGGTTGGGAACTTTGTTCCCTGGTGACACCCTGAGCCCGGCCAAGGGTCTCCAGCCAACTTCTGGTCTTCTTGACGAGTTCCTCGCTCCAAGCCCAGAAGGTGTGTATACATGCTGAAATTTGAAATAGATCTTCAAAAATCATCTTTTAAAAAGAAACCTTTTTTATCACTTTGCTAACCGTGATCGAAAAAAAGTGAAATCTTGTTTGAATTATGATTTTACTGTATAAGAAATACTTTTTGAGTTTAATTAGACACTTTTGCCTTTTGTGTATTTTCAGATCCCCTTGGTGAGGAATGGATGGAGAATTCAGCCTTCGATCTGGAGCATGCATTTGGTCTGACGGACCTTGGGGATGTACTTACTGCCGCTGCAGAACCAGTCATCCCAGAAAGCCCAACATCGTCAAAACCAAAAAACTCTGGTATCTTGCACGAGTTGCTGGTTCAGCCAATGTCACTTATGGGTCCAGTTGTAGAACCTGAACATCAAATGATCGATATTGACTTGCTAGATTGTGTCACTGAAGTGAAAGACTGCGATGTTGCAGAGGGCATTTTGTCATTACTGGATCAAAATGAAAGTGTGCAAGTACAGCACATACAACCGGAGATAAGTGTGGATACATCTTCGACTGTAGATTCAATAATTGAACAATTCATCACATCACCATTATCAGTTGATGAGGTTGAAAACTTCTTGTCAAGTTCTGAACCGTCCAGTCCAGAACCAGCAAGTGTTGAACAATCAATATGTGATGATCCAGACTACACACCTGGTTGCAGTGATGATGAAATGAACCCTCCTACATCCAAGTCTAGTAGCGGTAAGGCAAAGAAAGCAACCAAGTCGAGAATTAGGGCAGAACCATATGAAATTCCCACAGAAGGACTATCTAAAAAAGAACGCAAGAAAATTCAGAACAGAAATGCTGCTATTAGATATCGTGAGAAAAAGCGTGGTGAAAAACTTCACGTAAACACGGATGAGCAAACACTAGTTGAAACCAACCAGAAACTCCATGACAAAGTTGACAGCATTTCTCGCGAAATCAAGTACATGAAAGACTTGATGACTGAAGTGTTCAAGGCAAAGGGTCTCAAAATTTCATTTAAATAGTTATAAGGGAAGGGGGGTGGTTATTTATTTCATCATATCATATTTGACTGGTCGGTCAAATGTTTTCTTCATTCAATTTATGTTGTGAATAAAACATTGATTGAATTTTTGCAAGTCTTTTTTGTCATTTGTTTCGACGTCTTCCTGAAAGTGTAACAAGACTGCTTCTTGGTAATTCATATAGGGTGTACCATATCCCTTGTACTAAAGAGTCTGTGTAGATATCTAGATTATTTAGAAAAAAAAAATCTGCTAGCACAAATACATTTTCATAGTCAATTATTGGAAATGTTCACTAATCCTAATATTCCTGGCATGAAATAACACGGGCCAGGTTTCTGGCTGGTTATTGCATACCTTTAAGGACTAGTAAACCGATAGTCTTAAGTTTTAAAATATTAAATGTATCGTAGCCTGGTATGTAATTTGTAACACATTTTCAAAAACAATTAAATCTTTAGTTCAAGCAAGTGAACTTGCACACCCCAGGAATTTCAGCTACATTGACAAGTAGTTTATCTACCAGTAATCCGCAAAGATGCAATTTACATAGGTAAGATGGTACAAAGGTCGGAGCTTTAGAATTTGTCAATCTGCTTTGAACAAGACCTTGTACGAGTATTGTTGCTGACATGGATATTCCAGAGAACATGGTAGAAAAAAATTACTCCAATTTATCCAGAGGTGGGGTCAGAACATTGAACTATTTCTGGTAGCAGTAAACTTGGGCAAATAAAGCATTTGATCTCGATGACCTGATGCATTTCTAACTTTGATCAATGGACCAATATCAACTTGTTGTAGACCACAGGGTGGAATCCTTGTAGTGGTATATATTCACCACTTAATACTCGGATAGTGCACCTGCCTTTCACCAAGACCACTGGGGTTTAATTCCTCGATCGTATCGATACTATCATGTGAAAACATTATCCTAAATCAGATCAAGTGGAAAAAAAAGGTATGGGGTCGCCTGCGGATTATGGGGAACTCTGGTTTCGTCTCGCATGAAGTCCCTCTGCTTGCTACAGTCCAGGCCGAGAAATCATATTTCGCGTGGTTGACTACAAGGAATGAGCGTGAAATAGGTTTCTCTAATGGTTGGCCCAGTAGGTGGCACACCTGTGTTGGCATGACGAGCACGTGCAGCTGGTGAGCTGGCAAGTCGGTTCGAGGAAATGCACTGGTCAGGACGGACGGTTTAATTTTAGGTCGCCGGAGCTTTAGCTCAAGTGACCAATTGCTATGTGTCGTTCGTTACCATTTTACATTTTCAACTTAAGCTGAAATACTAGCAAAGGGATTTCATTAATATTTCCTGACCAAGTGTTGTTATTTTCCGGGTCGTTCAGAAATCCAATATGGCTACCATTTTGAAAAACTATTTTAAACCTTAAGTCAAGTTCTGCTGGGCCGAATGAACTGAAACTTGGTCTTGACAAAGTGGTGTTATTTTTCGGGTCGATTGGAAATTCAATATTGCTATTTTGAAAAAAATATTTCAAACTTTAAGGTCAGTTTTTGCTGGGTCGATTGAACTGAAACATGGTAGGAATGATCGACTCATGGTCCTCAAAGGTTTGTTCCGTTTTGGGTGGATCAGAAATCCAATATGGCCGACACGGCCGCGATTTTGAAAAACTATTTCAAACTTAAAGTCAGTTCTGCTGGGGGGATTGAACTAAAACTTGGTAAGAATGATCGACTTATGGTCCTGACAAAATGTTGTTATTTTTCGGGTCAATCGGAAATCCAGTATGGCTGACATTGGAGAAGAGTGATTTATTAGGTCACCTGAGCTTTAGCCTAAGTGACCTATTGCTATCCATCTTTGTCTGTCATCGTCCGTCGGTCGTTAACATTTTACATTTTCAACTTAAGCTGAAATACTGGCAAAGGGATTTCATTAATATTTCATGGGAAGGTCATCTCCCTGACCAAGTGTTTTGTTAATTTTCGGGTCGATCAGAAATCCAATATGGCCGCCATTTTGTAAAACTAATTCAAACTTGAAGTCAGTTCTGCTGGGCGGATTGAACTAAAACTTTGTAGGAATGATCGATTCATGGTCCTGACAATGTGTTGTTATTTTTCGGGTCGATCAGAAATCCAATATGGCCGCCACGGTCGCTATTTTGAAAAACTATTTCAAACTTTGAAGTCAAGTTCTGCTGGGCCGATTGAACTGAAACTTTGTAGGAATGACCGATTCATGGTCGTGACAAAGAGTTGTTATTTTTCGGGTCGATCAGAAATCCAATATGGCCGCCACGGTCGCTATTTTGAAAAACTATTTCAAACTTTAAAGTCAAGTTCTGCGGGGCCGATTGAACTGAAACTTTGTAGGAATGATCGATTCATGGTCCTGACAATGTGTTGTTATTTTTCGGGTCGATCAGAAATCCAATATGGCCGCCACGGCCGCCATTTTGAAAAACTATTTCAAACTTAAAGTCAAGTTCTACTGGGCCGATTGAACTGAAACTTTGTAGGAATGACCGACTCATGGTCCTGACCAAGTGTTGTTATTTTTCGGGTCGATCAGAAATCAAATATGGCCACCACGGCCGCCATTTTGAAAAACTATTTCAAACTTAAAGTCAAGTTCTAATGGGCCGATTGAACTGAAACTTTGTAGGAATGACCGACTCATGGTCCTGACAAAGTGTTGTTATTTTTTGGGTCGATCAGAAATCCAATATGGCCGCCATTTTGAAAAACTATTTCAAACTTAAAGTAAAGTTCTGCTGGGCCGATTGAACTGAAACTTTGTGGGAATGACCGACTCATGGTCCTGACCAAGTGTTGTTATTTTTCGGGTCGATCAGAAATCCAATATGGCCGCCACGGCCGCCATTTTGAAAAACGATTTCAAACTTAAAGTCAAGTTCTACTGGGGCGATTGAACTGAAACTTTGTAGGAATGACTGACTCATGGTCCTGACCAAGTGTTGTTATTTTTCGGGTCGATCAGAAATCCAATATGGCCACCACGGCCGCCATTTTGAAAAACGATTTCAAACTTAAAAACAAGAGGCCCAGAGGGCCTTTATTGCTCACCTTAATATGTTTAAAATAATTGGTATTAAGTAGGTGCTGTAAGTACATATGAAATTTCAGAAAGATCCATCCAGTACTTGAGATATAGCGAGAACAAACTTCAAACAGAACCCCACCCCTATATGCAACTTAGGGGGGTCATACCCACCAATTATACAAAATTGAGTCCCCTTGACCCAAGGATGCTCTAAGACTAAATAAGGATAAAATCCCATTATCCCGATGTTCGAAGAAGGATTTTAAAGGTTTCACCTCTATTTCTCCTATTGGGCCCTGCCCTTCTGCCCCTTGGGAGACCACACCCACTGCATGCTTATACAAAATTGAGTCCCCTTGGCCCATTGATGCTCCAGACTAAATTAGGATAAAATCCCTTAATCTCTATGGTAAAAGAAGGATTTTAAAGGTTTTACCTATATTTCCCCTATTGGGCCCCGCCTCTCTGCCTCCAGAGGCGTCAGACACACTGTTTATACAAAATTGAGTCCCTTTTGCCTAAGGATGCTCCAGACTAAATTAGGATAATATCCCTTAATCCCTATGGTAGAAGAAGGATTATAAAGGTTTTACCTATATTTCCCCTATTGGGCCCCACCCCTCATGTCCAAGGGGGGGGGGCACACCCACCGTTTATACAAAATTGGTTCTCCTTTACCAAAGGATGCACCACACCAAATAAATATGGAACAAATCCTTTCATTCCTACAGACGAAGAATTTTAAAGAATAATTTGCTGTTTCCCCTTTTGGGCCCGCCCCTCAGGCCTCTGGGGGGCCACACCAACGGTTTATACAAAATTGGTTCCCCTTCTCCCAAGGATGCTTCAGACCAAATATGGAACAAATCCTTTCATTCCTACAGAAGAAGAAGGATTTTAAAGAATTTGTTATATTTCCCCTGTTTGGCCCCGCCCCTCAGCCCCCAGGGGGGCCAGACCTACGGTTTATACAAAACGGGTTCCCCTTCACTCAAGAATGCTTCAGACCAAATATGGAACAAATCTTTTCATTCCTACAGAAGATGAAGGATTTTAAAGAATTTGCTTTATTTCCCCTATTGGGCCCAGCCCCTCACCCACAATTCAGTCGTTCATGACTAGTAGCGTTTTAAAGGAAAAGTTGATGGACGGACGGACGGACGGACGACAGATGAAGGACGCTGCGGTATGGCATAAGCTCACCATGGTCCTTTGGACCAGGTGAGCTAACAAGTTCTAATAAGCCGATTTAACTGAAACTCGGTCTAGGAATGATCAGCTTGTGGTCCTGACAAACTTAAGTTAACGTTATACTTAACTGTTTTGTACTCAAATTAGTACATATTTCAACAACAAAAATAAATACTGTAGGACTCAGGTGACCGTTTAGGCCCTTGGGCCTCTTGTATGAGTTGATAGAACTTTTTTCATTATGGTTCTTAAATAAAATCAATATTTTTACATGCTCTAGGACATATGGTCTCCAAGTTTAGGACTTTTTTAAACGACTGCAGGAAAACTTGGTCGTAAATGTGAATGTTTCTTATTCTGTAATTATTATATGGTGAGGATCGAAATTGTTTATGTGTTATAACCAAGAGAATAAGTTTTGCCAGGAAATGGCTGATAAAGGTGTTGGAACTTTAATATTTCGTTCTAGAATGTCTAGGTGTAAGGGAAATGTTCTAGAATGTCTAGGTGTAAGGGAAATGTTTTTTAAATTTTCTCCATTTAACTTAAGCCTCCAGTACGATCAGAATCTTTCATTGTCATAATGTCTAACTGAACTACAGAAAAAGAATAAAATAAACAAAATTGTATAATGACATCGGGGCCTATATTCATAAATGCTTAACTGGACTCGACTCAATCCAACAAGTACCTCACTTAAAACATGCCATGCAGTCAAAAAGTTGAATATTGACATGGAAAACGGTATTCAACTTTATTTCTCGATCATTTCTTCAAAATTATGGACAAAATGCATTTTGTGTATATACAACCAGAACAAGAAAACAGGCTTTGATTTGAACATGAATACAGACCCAGGTATCGGTCATTTTCAAAGATGGCAGTTAAGAAACAATTGATTTAGCTTGCACTCTGAAAAGTTTTGACTGCCTATGAATGTCCAGTTTATCTGAAGATCTGAATGATGGTGGGCTAAAAATGTTAGTAGCCTGCAGGCTCAACTTAAGGCAAATTAACCACACATTCATCGACAATGACGTCAGCTTTTCTGTTGGTTAAATAAGTCATCACATTGTGATCGAAGAAGTAGACAATTTCTTGAAGAAGTAACTAGGATTCTTTTTTTATTTCATACAACTTTAAAAGAATTGGTTTGGCTTTTGTAGATATTATGGTTAAATGATCATCAAAACAGCATGATATTGGTTCTACGGTAGAAGGAAAACAAAATATTTGCTGCAATATCAGAGAATTGAAGGAAAAAACCATTTTTTTTAACAAAATGATGCATTTCCCCTCATCTAAAACGGCTTGGACAACATTTTTGCACTTACCTGACCCTTGGCCCTAAGGTGAAGGTCATGGTGACCTAATAAGGTACTACAGTGCATTGAAGACCTCCTGAGCGTGATGCAGGTATACTTCAAGTTTCCATATTTTTATGATTTAAAAGTTACAAGTCAGACTATATAAGAAGAAGAACCAAGACATGGAAGGAACAAGATATCCTAGAGGGCTCTGGGTGCCCACCATAGTACCATTAGTTCTGTTGTTTTCCTCTTCCTTTCTCTTATCCGTTCGATCAGTTTGCCTATCTGCCATCTTAATCAATCTTTTGACCAACCTCAAAAGTTAACATGCACAACTCAGGACCACTGCATGAGTGAAGGGGAACTTACCATATCAAATTTGAGAAAAATTCCCCAAGTTAATTCTAAGAAAAAGCAATTACAAACTTAAACTGTAATCAAATATGCGTAACTAGGGGTGATGAGGAACTTTTGTGTCAAATTTGAGAAAGACCTCTCCAGAACATTCTGAAAAACAGTGCTAACAAACTAACTCCCATTCAAGATGACTGCCTGTCATCCATTTTGGTTTTGTGATCAGTCCCAAAAAACGATATGCATGACTAGGGATCTTGGGGAACCTTCATGTAGAATTTGAGAAAGATCCCTCCAGTACTTTCCAAGGAACATGCTAGCATACTTTAATTCAAATTCAAGATAGCTGCCTGTTGGCAATCTTGGTTTTGTCATCAGTCCCCAAAAAAATGATATGCATAACAAATGACAATGGGGGACCTTTATATGAAATTCGAGAAAGATCTTTCTAATGTTCTAGGAAATAGCACTAACAAACTTTAACACTCAAATTTAAGATGGCTCCATGTCGGCAATCTTGGTATTGAGAACGAGGGATCATGGGGAATCTTCATGTGGAATTTGAGAAATATCCATCTAGTACTTTTTGAGAACTTGAGATGATGAACAAACTTAAATTTCAAATTTAAGATGGCTGCCTGTCTGCCATTTAGGTCAAATTATATGAGAGAATGAACAAAAACAAACTTCTATTTATAAAATGAGATGTTTTAATTGCTGATGTTTCATGATAGTTCAAACATATAATATTTACAACAAAGACAACAATTATCGCATAAAAATGACACAGTCTCTTATCCTGGCAGTCGTTTTCCTTGTCAACAATGTCCATCATCTTTTCTTAAAGCCATATTTCTTCCTTTCATAGAATAAGTCTGTTTTAGCACTTCCTAAGTTAACAATCTTCGGACATCCGTCTCTCTGAAAGATACAAATATTACAAAGATTGTTAATAATCAAAATAAAAAATGTGTTAAATATAGTTCAAACTTTTGATACGGTAAATGAATAGCTTCATTGTCAGTTTTCTGCTATAGAACAGCACATTTTATAAGGATGCAGGAGTTGTTTCCCTTTACAAACATTCAAGGTGTGTGTTGATTTGGAAAATTATTCAATCAAAGAAAAAACCATTACTGGGACAATGACTTTCAGTCTGATTAATTTTTTAAACATCTACATGAGATAAAATACATGTTTTTTCACACCGAGTCTGATGGAAATCGGATGAATCAACATATTTTAATCATAAGCTATAAAACCAAAGCTATATAACTTCTACATTTGTAAGCAATTATTCTGATGTGTTTTTATAGGTTACAACTTAACAATGATACGTTTTCTGTTTTAGCTCACCTGTACCATTGGAGGGATTTTATCCAAATTTGGCCAGGAGCATCCTTGGGAAAAGAGGGCTAAATTTTGTATCAAGAGTAAGGGTGTGACCCCTCTTGGTGCAGAGGGTCGTGGCTCAAAAACGGAATTTGAGGTTTAAATTTGTAAGTTCCTTCTCTTCTGTACCATTGGAGGGATTTTATGTAATAAGAATAATTTCCCATGGTTGCTTTATTATCCAGGTGAGCGATACAGGCCCTCTTGGCCTCTTGTTTTCATGATTGGGGTGAAAAATGATCCTTTGCTATTCTTATAAACACTACGTTTACTCGGTAATCAACATATTGAGTTATGGAAGAACTTTTTGAAACAACTTTGGAACCAAATATTTTCTTCAGGCTGGTAAGTATAGATTATGAGAAAAAAAGAACTTTTCATAATAATGTACCAGCAGTGCTTATATTTAGCCAGAGTCATGAAGTGCAACTAAGGAGACACAGTGAATAATATACATGTACTTGCTTTGTATTAAAGACCTACGACAGATTTCAATACTTAAAAGTTTAATAAACTGACTTCATGTTATATTCCCTTAAATGCCATGCTTTAATAGGATATGTCTAACTTTGCATTTAAGTAGTTTAAACCAGTTATTGTATGAGCAGGTTTGTACACCCCACGGAAGAAAGTAATCAACAAAGCTTATCATATACAACATTATGTTGGGAAGCATATACTTTACATTTAGTTCGATCATTGTACATGCAAGTTTAATGAGATTGGATAAACAACACTTGCACTATTGTATATATATACTTACAACTTTTACCTATCTTTGACCTATGACCTCAAACGTCTGAGGGTCCAACCCCCGGCCGTGTCCTTGCATTGCACTATCAAAAATCACAACTTTCACCCACGACCACTGACCATAAATTTCAACCAGATTCAACTTCTTGATATGAATTTTTGTCTTGTCAATTATGGACACAATATTTCGCCTTGGAAGACAGAATTAAAAGAAAGGAAATCCACATAATTTCTTTCATACTTACATCTTTTTCCATTATTGTACATTCTTTGCAATAGTAGGCGTCAGAGACTCCAGGCCCCCCGCAGATTACACATCGCCCCTGGTAGGAACCGTAGTTACACTCGTCGCATATCCTCACCAGCGTACACGGCCGCACGTACGAGTCGCATATTACACACTTTCCATCACCTAGATAACAAAACAAAGTCCAATAAATCAGTATATCTTGTTTTGATTTTTAAAATCTTTCCTTGGACTTAATGTATGATCAGACTGAATTACAAATCATATGGGTAATTAATTTCCCTATGACAAATTGTCTACCTATGGTAGACAAAGATACTCAGAGTACTGACTGTATATTCCCAGTACATTTGTACAATTGTATAACTAAATGTGTTCAACTATATTTGATGTAGTCCAAGTTTCCTCTGTCCCTGACACAAGACTTTTAAACATTTTAACAGATAGATGTCTGGTCCCACACCATCATCTTTCTGTCAAAATCTATGTTTGATGATGGTACATTTTAACATACACTAATAAAACCTTTTTTTGCTTTTTCAAAACAACTCTTGAAATCTATTTAAACAATATGCAAGACTTGCATAACAGTGCCTTTGAAGTATATTACCAACATTTTACCTAATGATAATGTAAGTTTTTCCAGTCGAGTTAAAAATGCATGGTTTGTGTAAGTGCCATTTGTTAAAGAAGGATTTTCAAAACAATTACTAACATTCTTTTCTCTTTGAAAATTTAAATTCACAATATAAGAATTACTTACATTTCTCACAAAGTCTTCCAATAGCTGAAATAAAAAAAAAAGTAGAAAGTTATTAAAATGTACTATACATTTGTAGGTATGGCATCTGAGATTGTTCAACTTCAAACATGATGAAAAGTTATTCTTATCTTTTTTTTAAAAAGGAAACCTGAAAGATAACCAGTCTCCAATTTTAAATTTATCATGAAGAAGTTTTTGCTTTGGTAACTATACAAAATCATATACAGTTCTATTGGGCCCTGAATTATATATAAATAATACACCTACAATGCATCAGCGAATTGTTTATCTTGAGAGCCAGTGCCTCCTGTTAACATGTTTCATGATACTTTAATAGAGTGGTTATTAATAATACCAGTTGTGCAAAATGTCACCATGCATTTCTTCTTGTTCTATCAGGAAAAAGAAAGATTGTTTTCAGGATAGACCACTTAAAAAAATTGATTCAGCATGGAATACAAACACACACCTTAGATTAGCATGGAATACAAACACACACCTTAGATTAGCATGGAATACAAACACACACCTTAGATTAGCATGGAATACAAACACACACCTTAGATTAGCATGGAATACAAACACACACCTTAGATTAGCATGGAATACAAACACACACCTTAGATTAGCATGGAATACAAACACACACCTTAGATTAGCATGGAATACAAACACACACCTTAGATTAGCATGGAATACAAACACACACCTTAGATTTGTTTCATATCAAAGTTTGTCACATATCAAGGAAAACTATGGTAACTGTTTTGCACAAAAAGTTGTGACAAGTATCACGAAACATTCTGTACCTTGATTGTTGTGATTTCACAACCCATGCAGTACTATATATGTATACACATCAAAAGTATCTACTGAGAAATACATACCAGATAAGTAGGTAGGCAAGTATTTTGTTTTTCATTTCATCATGACTTAAATAAAAAGTTTATCCATTGAAATGCAACCTTAATTCTGAAGTACATTGGATTGAGACACAAATTCTTTGAAGAATTTTTCCATTGTATATAATAAATATATATATACCGGTGTTAGGACGAGGAATAGTGATAAAGATATAAGTGGGGTTTTAATGTTTTTTGTAGGGGTTTTATCTGGTTTAGGTTTTTTTTTATCTGGACTAACAAGAATGATAAATATAAGTTGGAATAACTTGTTTCATATTTGTTGTAAAAAAATAAATAATATTTTTATCTAATTTTCTTCGTCCTGTTATAAATTTGGTCACAATCGCCTCATTTGAATTAAGAAATTCAACTGAGTTTTTTACTGTCATAAACCACATTCAAAGTTTTGGCTTTTTCTTTAATTTTACCTATTCTTATTAATGCAAGTTTTCTTTTTTTTCTCGTAGTCTATACAAAATGCGACAAAAAAGACTCATATCTTAAAACGTTGTTACTTTGCAGGCCAATTTTGTAAACAACCATTCTTTCCTGATTAATTGAAATATAATTCATCACCATAACATTTGTAGCGGCTAAATGAATAACATAATTTTGTTTGAGGAAATTGTATTAAAAATGTGTGGTAAAAGAAGGAAATGTCGAGTGGAAGGATTGATTTGTTCAACTTGTTGTTGGTGCAAAACGTCAGACGTTCGTCGGACGTCGATGTCTGTTCTGATCATGTGTATATGATTTTCATGCACATATACATTTAAACTCAACAAACGAATGATAAGAATTACTTATTTTATATAAAGAAAACGGAATAATTATGGATCAAACACATTCAGTTCTATCAATAATGTAAATAAACGTACCAACGCCGGGCTGCTTCCTACAAAATATCAAATCTGGATGATGCTTCGCCATGTTGAAATTGAGTAAATAATTTTACGAAATGCTGTTTTAGTGGAACGCAAAATATATTAATAAACATTTATCTATATTTTATAGAATTACCTGTTTCAGAAATATGATATTAAAATTTCAATTATTGTTTTTATCAATGATTTTTTTTTTCTTGTTTAATGAAATATTAATATATTTTTGGATTAATCTTTTGTTTCGTAAAATGTTTCCTTTTGTAAAAATGCAATATAGTACAATTAATGCAGAATCATAAAAACGTTTTGTTCGGAGAGCATTTTAGAGTAAGCTTTTAAACGACTATAACCATACAAAATCCAGCATGGGGGAACCACAGAACCTACTGGAGGAAAACGAAGAAAACGTGACATTTAAATCACTGGTACGTACTTTGATGAATATTTTTCTAAATGACTTGTCGTGTGTTTGTTAAATTTAAAACGAAGTATTGATATAGTGCTCACAAGAGAGGCCTGTTCGAACTACGCACCAATGGGTAAAAGGCCAACACACAGGTGTTCGTTACAAATGTCTGAACTACACATATGCTATACTGATATTGGTCACAGCACACATAAACATACACATGATAATGTGTGCTGTGACCCATATCAGTAAAGCATATGTGTATTTCAGACATTTGTAACGAACCCCTGTGGTTAAATATTGGGGGTGGGGGTCTATCTTTTACACTTAATGTGTCATTTAGACTGAATGGCTATATATAGCTATAGGCTCTTATTACAATTTATATTGGTAGTAGTTGTAAACAGTAATATGTGTTTGTAAATATTTTTATATAGATACATACTATATAATCCCTATTTGTTACAAAACCATGTGATTGGGTGGAATGAACAGAATATGTATCTCCAGACATTTAGGATCGAACCTGACTTTCCTATTTCTAATTTAGTTCAGCTGATCATGAGCTCAAGGGAATGTCCAGTCCCCACAGGTAGGGCGTAAGAATTGTACCTGCTGCCCCCATTGCATGATCATAAGAGGCGACTTAATTTGGGATCTTATCTTTTCTCTTCTTTCTAAACAACTTACTTCTTCCTAATGTCTCCCCTGACAATGCCTTACTTTTGGCCTTTAGTTGAGTGTTAGCCCCTGTGAGGAAGGCTTTGGGTTCTGTCCCCTGGCCGAGACATACCAGAGTCTGTAAAATTGGTAGTTTCTACTCCTGCTTAACTCTCAGCAGTTTAGGAGTGGGACGACTGGTTCGCCCGTTATCAGTTGAATGAGACCGGGTGGGGTGTCCTGCTGGGTGTCTTTGGCAGTACATGTATGTTTCAGTGAGGTAACACTATACAGTCCACATCAGTTCCGCGCTATCACAAGGAGACAAACACGAACATATTGCAGCCTCCCAAAACACACACGCATACACTACACGCATGCATCTAGACACAGGGGAGGTTGTCCTTAAATGACCATAGCTGTTGATAGGACGTTAAACAATACTGAACTAATCAAGGGAAATTCCCTCTTTGCCAAAGCTAGTATATTAAAGGCAAATCAGGCACCTTAAATATACTGGATGCTTTGGTAGCAATGATTGCTTAAGCGCACAGTCATTTCTACTGCATGCAATCAAGCGTGAGCTTCAGATCATCCACTCTCTGGAGGATTTTCGGTTCAATCGGGAAAAAGAGAATGATGTTGTATATCCCTCCGATGGCACAGTGTTTTTCCCCGGTGCGTTTTCCTCCACCAGAAAAACAACATTTATTCCCTTAGCTCGTCGTTATATAATATGTTTGTTGTTGACAATGTACACAACATTAGATAAAGATTATGAATTTATTTATTTACTACATATCTCAGATACAAGATATATATAATTGCTCTGCAGCATATGGTAAAATTGACCAGCTTTGGTTTTGGTTAAGCTCCTCAGCAACGAATCTTCAACAAACTGGTATTGGCAAACAATTGGTAAATTTTTGTATTGTCTTTAAATTATCAACCATGAGCCTTTATTTATCATGACACATATGATTCCAAGGTTGTAGAGATCTTGAAGATATACAAGAATCTTTATTTTTTGTCGTATATGAATAACATCGAAATCCAGGGGTTATGCTCAGACAACTACATGTACGCTCCCTGTGTAGAGAACGTCGGTGATCTTAACCCCTGGATATCGAGGATGTAATAACATACAATATTAGCTCTGTAGAGCTTTTCTTAATTACTACAAAGATGAAAAGCAGAACCCTTTGATTTTGAAGTTACTCAATGATGCTATTGTAATTAACAAAAATGTTAAACTTAGAGGGACTCTTACAGATTTATACAGAATATTCAAATTTTTCGCTGATGCAAAAGTAAACATTCCACTTGTGGGTTCAATCCTTGTACCTAGTTGTAGACATCTGCTTTAACAAACATAGTTACTGGAGATATTTAGTTTGTAATACAATTACATGCAAATATAATTGAAAAGTATAGCAACAAAGAGAATAAGTTGCAGTTGCTAAGTTTGTTCAGATGAATGACCTTGACCCACTTTCAACCTGATATCCTTGTTCGACATTGAAGGTCACAGGCCTCATATGTTTAAATCTTTTAATAGGTTCTTACGAATCAAACACTAATATTCTGCTTGTAGCTGTATTTTAGTCCACTTTTAAGTGGTGCGGTGTCCGTCCGTCGTCAATATTTTACTTTAAACAACTTCTTCTCAATAACCGAAAGGCCCAGGGAACTGATATTTGGTCTGTTGCATACTGGGATGAAGGGCTGCCAAGTTTGTCCAAATGAATGACCTTGACCCACTTTCAAGGTCACAGGGGTCAAATGTCTTAAAATCTTGAAAACAACTTATCAATAAACGAAAGGCTCATGGTACTGATATTGGGCCTATAGCATGCTAGGTCGATGGGCTACCCAGTTTGTTGAAATTAATGACCTTGACCAACTTTCAAGGTCACAGAGGTCAAATGTCTTAAAATCTTCGAACAACTTCTTCTCAATAATTGAAAGGCCCAAGGGATACCAAGTTGTTCAAATGAATGACCTGGACCCACTTTCAACCTAATGTCCTTGTTCAACAATTTCAAGGTCACAGGCGTCATATGTTTAAATCTTTTAATAGGTTTTTATGAATCAAACACTGATATTCTGCCTGTAGCTGTATTTCAGTCAACTTTTATAATTACAAGTGTGATATTAATACCACGTGAGTGATGCAGGCCCATTGGGCCTCTTGTTTTATTTAATTCCTTCCAAATTTGGATAGTAGTACTAGAAGCAATAATGTTTAACATATATAACAAGTTTTTAGCTTACCTGACCCGAATGGCAAAGTGAGCTTTTGGCATGGTGCGGCATCCGGCGTCCAGTGTCAACCTTTTACTTTAAACAACTTCTTCTCAGTAACCAAAAGGCATAGGGTGATGATATTTCGCCAGAAGCATGCTGGGATGAAGGGCTACCAAGTTTGTTCAAATAAATGACCTTGACCTATATTCAAGGTCACTGGGGTCAAATATGTTAAAAACCTTTAAACAACTTCTTCTGAATAATTGAGAGTCCTAGGGTGATGATATTTGGCCAGTAGTATGCTGGGATGATGGGCTACCAAGTTTGTTCAAATATTTGACCTTCATCCATTTTCAAGGTCAAAGGGGTGAGATATGTTTAAAACCTTTGAACGACTTCTACTTAATAATCAAAAGGCCAAGGGTGAGGATATTTGGCCATTAATATGCTGGGATGAAGGGCTACCAAGTTTGTTCAAATGAATGACCTTCGCCCATATTCAAGGTCACAGTGGTCGATATATGTTTAAATCTTTAAATGATTTGTTCTGTATAACCAAAAGGTCCAGGGTAATGATATTTTGCTAGAAGCATGCTTGGTTGGAAGACTATAAACTCAACCTTATGTCCTTGTTCGACATTCAAGGTCACGTGCATCATATGTTTAAACCTTTAAAAGGTTCTTATGAATCAAACACTGATATTCTGCCTGTAGATGTATTTTAGTCCACTTTTAAGATTACAAGTATGAGATTAATACCAGGTGAGCGATTCAGGCCTATTGGGCCGCTTGTTTTGTCTGGTTTCAACTTTCCTTGTTTTGAGAGGTCAAAGGTCACGAATGAATTACGTTACTGAAATGGCTAAATATCGGAAATGGAAGGTATTTTGTATACACATATACATTAAAATATTGTAGGCATTAATGCAATCTAATCTACTGAAAGCTTCCAAGGTCATAGGGTAAGAGGTCAAAGGTCACAAATGAATTACTTTACCGAAATGGCTAATCATCCAGGAAACAGTAGGTATTTTGTATACACATATACATAAGAGTATCATAGCCAATTGTGCAGACTTTATTATGACAAACTTCCAAGGTCATGAGGTCAAAGGTCACAGATGCATTTTGTTACTGAAATGGCTTATTTTGTCAGAAATGGTAGGTATTTTGTATACACATACCTTAGAGTAAATGTAGCATTGATGCAAGCTACATTGTGACAAAATTCCGAGGTCTTTGAGTCAAAGGTCACAGTAGTGTAGTTTGTCTTTTCCAGAGGTCTGACGATATGACATCTGAGGTTAGACTTTTTCATGATCATTGATCACTGATCTTTCTATATATTTTTACCTTGTTTATTTAGCCCCTACAGGGGGCAACAAGCAGCCGGAATGCGGGGGATATTTAGCCCCTACAGGGGGGTATTAGTTAGCCCATAGGGGACAGTTCTAGTTAGTAATATGCAACACTGTCTGGTTTTGTATGTCCAAATAACAAGACTCGAATTAATTCTGCATGTGAAATGCAAATAAATAGACACTCAATACAGTTTTTAGCTCACCTGGCGCGGTGTCCGTCGTCCGTCTGCCGTCCGTCCGTCCATAAGCTTTTCCTTTAAACAACTTCTTCTGAAGAACGAACAGGCCTAGAGTCATGATATTTGGCTGAAAGCTTTGTTGGTAGGAGCCCTACAAAGTTTGAGAATGAAAATGACCTTGACCTGTATTCAAGGTCACAGGGGTCAAATATGTCAAAAACTTCAAACGACTTCTTCTAAAGAACTAAAAGGTATAGAATCTTCATATTTGGCTGATGGCTTCCTGGGATAGAGCCCAACAAAGTTTGAGAATGAAAATTAGTTTGACCTACTTTCAAGGTCACAGGGGTCATATATGTCAAAAGCTTCAAATGACTTCTTCTGAAGAACTGAAAGGTATAGAATCTTTATTTTTGATTGATGGCTTCCTTGGATAGAGCCCGACAAAGTTTGAGAATGAAAATGACCTTGACCTTCTTTCAAGGTCACAGGAGTCAAATGTGTCAGACACTTCAAACGACTTCTTCTGAAGAATTGAAAGGTATATAATCTCTATATTTGGCTTGTAGCTTCCTAGGAAAGAGCCGAACAAAGTTTAAGAATGAAAATGACCTTGACCTTCTTTTAAGGTCACATGAGGCAGCAAAGTTTGCGAGGGAAATATTTTTAGTGCAATATAATATTTAATGAGAATATTTTGCTATGACTGCTTAAATATTCAGGTGAGCGATACAGGCCCTCTTGGGCCTCTTGTTTAGCTCACCTGGTCCGTCAACTTTTCGTTTAAAACACAACTAGTCCTGAACGGCCTGTAGATTTTGACTAAATTTGGTCTGAATCATCCTTAGGCCAGAGGGACTCAATTTTGTATAAACGGTGTGTGTGACCCCCCTGAGGGCAGAGGGGCGGGGCCCAATAGGGAAATAGAGTTAAAACCTTTAAAATCCTTCTTCTACCCTAGGGATTAAGGAATTTTATCCTAATTTAGTCTGGAGCATCCTTGGGTCAAGGGGACTCAATTTTGTATAAATGGTGGGTGTGGCCCCCCTGGGGGCTGAGGGGCAGGGCCCAATAGGGGAAATATAACAAATTCTTTAAAATCTTTCTTCTTCTGTAGGTATGAAAGGATTTGGTCCATATTTGGTGTGGAGCATCCTTGGGTAAAGGGAAAACAATTTTGTATAATCGGTGGGTCTGGCCCCCCTGGGGGCTGAGGGGAGGGGCCCAATAGGGGAAATATAGCAAATTCTTTAATATCCTTCTTCTGTAAAACCCCTCTAGGGGCATAGCTCTGTTTGAAGTTTGTTCTCGCTATATCTCAAGTACTGGATGGATCTTTCTAAAATTTCATATGTACTTACAGCACCTACCATGTATCTTTACTTCATACCAATTATTTTAAACATATTCAGGTGAGCGATACAGGCCCTCTGGGCCTCTTGTTATATTACATTATTATTTTTTGCAAAGTGAAACCAAATTCTAAACTTTGACCCTGAGTGATGCATAAATTGTTTTGCAGGGTGTGGTTGATGTACTTTGTGAAGCTTGTGAACTTCTGAAATGGAAAACGCCAACCAAAATTCAACAGGAATCCATTCCTATAGCCCTTCAAGGTGAGAAATGGTTTCCCTGTGTCATGTATCAAATTTTGTTCATTATTGTATTCAAAATTGCTTTATTGCACAGGTATAAATTTGTGTTCTCTGAAAACAATTTTGGAATAATTGTTACAATATTAATGAACATACCATAAATTTGCGGGTATAGTGCGCAGGAACGTTTTTGGGGTCAGATTTGGGAAAAAAAATTGAAAATAGAAATGAAAATATTTTTTTGGGTAAAAAACAATCCTAAAAATAAACAGTATCAAACAGGAAAAGTAGCATCAAAGGTAGCTTGGTGTTTATAACGCCGATTAATTAACGATTGATTGATTGGAGTCAACAAGCCCATAAAGGTCTCCCTACCGCTTGGAACGAGTGGATGATGGACGAATCCTGCAGAAACCAAACGAGGAAAGTGTAGGCCTAGCTAGGCCTAATTCCGATGCCAGATAATTGCCGTTCAACTTATGTTTCGACATCTCAGCGGTTTTCTCATAATTACGAAAATGTAGTGTTTCAATTATAAGCTCCGTTCCATGTTAGTTCTGTGGTTTTTTTGAACAAAATCGCTAAGCCTAGTGTGCATGTTTTTTCCCGGCCCACCTTCATGTTTTGACGTCATCGATAACCTCGTGAGTTATTTCAATATTTTGAAGCATCATAAAAATAGTGTATTCTGCTTTTATTATTTCCCTTCGAGTAGATTTGAAAGGGTTGTGTTGAATGTCCACGCTTCTAGTATAAACATATTTTTTATAATCCCTTTACGGTCAAATCAGTCTGTAGTTCTAACGGTGCAGTAGGGCTTCACGCCACGGCACATGTTTGAGGAATGAAAACAACACGGTCCCTCGATCGCGACTGCAAGTAATTTCAATTAAATTGCAGTACAGTAGAGCTATTGTTAATCGGTAATCACTGATAGAGTATTAGCTAATTACTGCATTGCAATTTGTATTAACTGTGGTGTTGAGAAGTGTCAATAACTTTCGCTGAAGCATGGCGATCCTACCTAGCCTATTGTCCAGGATCAGACGGTGGTTATGCCCTCTGGTCATGATCAATTTACCTGTAAAATGTTACCTGTGCCCAGCTAGTGTTTGTCGCCAAATAAGCAGTCATGACCACAGATTACCGATTTTAATCATTTAAGAGAAGGTAAGAATTGTGTCACCGAAGAATTTCATTAGTTGTTGTTTTTTAATCTTCAATATTATCATATATGACCGACGACTCAAAATAAAACTATTTGAAGGGAGGTAATCCAATATGGTGGACCAGAAACTCGAGAACGATAACCCAAGAATGACTTGTTCCTGCGTATAGTGCGCATCCCCTTTTTGACATGACAATATTTACCTAAAAAAGTGTGCACTATACGCGCAAATTTACGGTAATTTATTGAAATCGCAAACTGAATACAATTAAATTTACCGAGTACTGTAGATATGAAGGGAAATAAACATTGTACAAAATATTTAGAAATGCTGATGAAAAGTTCTTGGGAGAATTCTTAGACTTTTATTATTAAATTTTAAGAACTATAGAAACCGAATAACTTGAAATCCGGCTTTAATATATTTTGACAGGTAAGGATGTCATAGGTTTAGCTGAGACTGGGTCCGGGAAGACTGGATCTTTCGCTCTGCCAATACTCCAGTCGCTGTTAGAAAATCCACAACGTCTCTACGCCCTTATTCTCACACCCACCAGGGAACTGGCCTTTCAGATCTCGGAACAGTTTGAGGCTCTGGGATCAACCATTGGTATCAAATGTGGTATGTATGCCGGTTTATATGTCTATCCTGAAGGATATTCATATTTCAATGATAAAGTTCCAACTATAAAAATTATACTGGCCAATCTGACCTCATGGGTAAAAAGTTTCTTCTTCTCTTTAATATTGGTCTAGATTACAATATATGTATTATTATTACAAAGTATCATAATTTTATGCCATGGGTTATTTCCAAATATCTTCAACAGATTCTGCTGCTTTTTTTCCTTGCAAAAAAAATATTATTTGAAACCCATATAATAAAGTAATAATTCATACATGTGACAGAAACAGATTGTAAGATCTCTGGGAGTATCCAATGGGAGAAAATTTAACATTTCTACATTTCTAAAAAAAAATCATGTGATTAATTTATCATATGTTTCGTTGTTTACTTGTAGTTTCATTGACTGAAAACTTGTTTATTTTCCAAAATCGTGAATGATTTTGTATGTAATATTTTTATCTGTTTGACAGCTGTCATTGTGGGAGGAATAGACATGATGACCCAATCGCTAATGTTGGCAAAGAAACCTCATATTATAATTGGTAAGTGTGGTGTGTGTGTGTGTCTAATTACACATTTGATATTCTCTAAGTGTGCAGTATGTGTATAATAACACATGTAATAATCGGTAATTAAGTGTGCAGTATGTGTATAATAACACGTGTAATAATCGGTAATTAAGTGTGCAGTATGTGTATAATAACACGTGTAATAATCGGTAATTAAGTGTGCAGTATGTGTATAATAACACGTGTAATAATCGGTAATTAAGTGTGCAGTATGTGTATAATAACACGTGTAATAATCGGTAATTAAGTGTGCAGTATGTGTATAATAACACGTGTAATAATCGGTAATTAAGTGTGCAGTATGTGTATAATAACACGTGTAATAATCGGTAATTAAGTGTGCAGTATGTGTATAATAACACGTGTAATAATCGGTAATTAAGTGTGCAGTATGTGTATAATAACACGTGTAATAATCGGTAATTAAGTGTGCAGTATGTGTATAATAACACGTGTAATAATCGGTAATTAAGTGTGCAGTATGTGTATAATAACACGTGTAATAATCGGTAATTAAGTGTGCAGTATGTGTATAATAACACATGTAATAATCAGTAATTAAGTGTGCAGTATGTGTATAATAACACGTGTAATAATCGGTAATTAAGTGTGCAGTATGTGTATAATAACACATGTAATAATCGGTAATTAAGTGTGCAGTAATATAATGTATACATGGAATTTTTCGCCTCTCACCAATGAAATCAATTTTCAATTATACCGCAGCAAAAATTGACCTGTATACAGCATATGTATACAGTTACATATGTGATGATTTGGAAGTGTTATACTCATGTTATTACATATGATTATTTGTAATTGAGTGGCATATAATTCAATGACACATGCAGTAATCAGTAAATGTTTGGTATAAAACCTAGCAAAAAAATCATCAAATTACAGATAACAAATTGAAAACAAAAATTGGAGAAAATCTACGACAAATATGAGAATTACCATTGTTTATTATAGGTTTGTGTCAATGCAAGTTGAATAAAAAAATAAAACACAGAAGTTTGTAATTTCTACTATTCCGTATTTGCGTATTGCAGGTATTGATTGTTACGTCATTTGTTTGTGAGAGTAACGTCATCAATTTTTGAGAAAACGTCGTCATTTTCTCACAAAAACTAATGACGTAACAATCAATACCTGCTCACAAGAGAAGATAACTCTGCAATGCGAGATTGGAATAGTAGCCAATTTAGACACAAAGTTCAAATGATAAACAAACTGAAAATAACTTGGCCAATATGAACATTATTTAACATTGAAGCTATCATTCACTTTATGTGTAAAAATAATTTTGATGATGAGACTTTTAATGTTAAATGTCACTTTTATTCTGCTATTTCTTTTTGATGTCATTGAGCAAAATTCTTTGTCACATTTCAGTCATTGTCGATTCAGCAAAATAATTTTCAGTAATAGTTAGTTTATTTTTTTGGATGTTTTTGACAGCTACACCTGGACGATTGGTGGATCACCTGGAAAATACCAAAGGCTTCAACCTTCGTTCTCTAAAATACCTGGTGAGTAATGGTGGCCAAGTTTGTATTAGAGATCACCTTATAGTGGTAATATAATTCACAAAAGTTTTGATATATTTCTCAGTTTGGAAATAATATGTTGATGGTTATTAAACATGAAGCATGCAATATGGATGTAACGGATTTGCGTTCATACCGGCATGAAAATTTAAAAAACGCCGTTCAATCCCTGTAAGTAAACTCTTGGAGTTGAAAAAAATAAAGTATTGATAATTTCAGTACCCTTAGTGTATCACGATACAGGCAACCAAAACAATTCAAAACAATACGAAAGAAAGTATCAAAATACAATATGGTACAATTTATCGTTGCAGTCCTAGTAGATTTATCTATTAGGCAACCACTCCTTCGAGTCTGTTATTGTGACGTACAAATTACATCCGAATAGGAATTACTAATTCTGAACTAAGCTTAAAAGTCTGAATGAATTACATTTCATGAAATGATGCCAAAATATTTGAAGATACCAGTAGAGTTCTCACAATCATCTGATGTATGTTTTTCTTCACCATTTTCCATAAAACCATTTTACCTTGAAATTGTTGCTGGTCAACAATTGTCATTCTAACCCTAAATAATCTTTTCCTGATCCAGTTGAAAAGTTTCGAGATTTTCCAATGTTTGAACATTTGTAGGTAATGGATGAAGCAGACAGAATATTGAACATGGACTTTGAACAGGAGGTAAGCCATTCTTATTTTATTCATAAGGGACACAAAATATTTATTGCAATGTAAAAATATATGGGAAAAAATAGATGAACATTTAAAAATTACATATATACAAGTATATACAAGTACAATTTTTTTTAAATTGATGAATCAAACATGTATTTCAGACTTTTAAAAAAAAAACTGATTTAGGAATCGAACATGTATGATTCTAAGAAAAGCTATTTTTCCCAAAAATAAGTTAAGATTGTTGATGATCTTCATATTAACAAGATCGTTCTGTCAGGATATTTGATTGGACGTCACAGTTGACCTTGATTCTCTTTGACCAGGTTGACAAGCTACTGAAGGTGATACCCCGGGAACGGAGGACGTACTTGTACTCAGCCACCATGACAAAGAAGGTAGGTGTGGCGCAAAATCATTTATCAGCCGATCAGGAAAATATGTTAGAATATTCTTAGCGCAAATGTTCTCACTAAGTTTTGAAACAGGTAGTTGAAGGAGAAAAAATAGCTGGTTAAATGTTCACATGACTTATTCATCTTCTGAAGAAAAAACCCAGTCAGTTTCAAGTCGATGAATAAAACACTATTTATACCTACAACCTGATATTAATGAAGACATTGAGATCGCGACTGAAAATTGGTAAATTTGCACAACTTCAATGCAGAAAAGTGTCGGTTGCATCGTGTGGTAAACGAATCTAATTTCAAACTGGGATTTTGTCGCACCCTCTTAAGTAAGGGGAGGTAATACAACTAGCATATTCAGTCATGATATAGCCCGGGTAGTGACTGCAGGTGACTGTTTGTGCTGGCTACTCTCTGTGTATACAATAGGAAGTGAGAGGCTACTGAAGACGGGTAAAAGAAATCAAGTGAAGCAACTTAAGATCCTCTTTATGTTTAACGTCGTAAGAAAGTTATTTTTGCTTTTATGGCAGTGTTGGCATTTAAAACTCATTTGCAAAGCATTATTTTATATATTCCCAGGGTGTCATGAAAACAAACAATTCTCAACACGAAAATTGTAAACAAGTGTTTTAGGATACAGAAAAGTTATAACTTTTATTTTGAGGTGGAAAAAGAAGTTGAAATTATTTGAATTCAATTTTTGTTTTGATTTGTAGGTTGCAAAACTACAGCGGGCATCACTCCAGGACCCTGTCAAGGTGGAAGTGTCGTCAAAATATCAAACTGTAGACAAACTTATGCAGTACTATATTTTTATACCCGCTAAACACAAGGTATGTGTGAAGGGAGAAGTGTGTGAAGGGAGAAGTCCACTAGAGTAACCTCCCCTGTTCTTATTGGGATCAACCTAAACAGTACACAAACACTAGCAACACCTGGGCTGTTTGTTTATGCAGATCAACCGGTTTGTCTATGTTTTAAAATAACATTTTCGGGTATAAATCCTGGCGGACCTGCCAATTTTTATGCAGGCCTTGCAAGGCTTTTTCAAGGCTCGCCTGAATGCAGCATCAGATTTCAAGGTCCTACCTTGTTTCATAAATGAACCTGTTCAATGGCCCAGGACTGTTTTCATTTATCGCAATCCAAACAGTTGAATCTGTTGGAACAGAGTTGTTCGTTTATGAAAAAAGTTCGGACCTAGTAATATGATGCTGTTTTCAGACGAGCCTTGACAAAGCCTTGACAAAGCCTTGCAAGCAAGGCCTGCATAAACATTTGCAGGTCCACCAGGATTTATACCTGTAAATGTTATATTTAAAACAGACAAACTGGTTGTTCCGCATACACAAACATGCCCCTATGGATAGTGCTTTAATTTCTCAGGTGTAGAAGTTCACTAGTTTTAATAACAAAAAAGTAAGGTTTAAATTCAAACAACACTTATGTAAATACTATACCGCATATTCTTTGTGTTTTGCTAAATAAGTAGGGGTAAATCTTTCTCTAGTTCTCTTTGTTTTAAACGATAAAAATGTCTTATATGTGCTTGAAATATACTGTACATATGTATAATTTATAGTTGTTATTTCTGTTTTCTTCAAGGACGTTAACTTGGTGTACATCCTGAATGAACTGGCCGGAAATTCCTTCATGGTGTTCTGTAGCACCTGTGCAAATACACAGCGAGTGGCTCTCATGCTGCGTAACCTGGGAATGACCGCTATTCCGCTACACGGTCAGCTCAGTCAGGTCAGTAGATGGTCAACAGAGGCTGATTGATCATGTATTATGTAACGTTCAAGTGAAAAACTGAGTCAGTCTCCCCTACCATCAGAATCAGTGCAGTGAGGTATATATGTATTCAGTTGTGACAAACGAAAGTTTTTGTGCCACAGATAATTTAAACGTATAAAATATGACCATGTGTCAGAGGTCAGTTTCTTTTTCTTCTCACTAGGCTCGATAGAGGGTTCAGATCTTCTATGACATTTATCCTACTATGACCAACTCAATGTCTTAATATGTTTTACAAGGAAAAGATAGAAAGCATTTAAAAATATTGCCCCATCAGTGGTTTTCACTGTTACCTGGCAATCTTTGATTGGCTGAGAGCGGCATGCAACAGCTATTCCACTTTAGCCTTCATGATAAAACTTTAAAGATAAAACAGCATCATCAGACGTCTCGTTATGTCATGGTTTGAAGAAATTTGGGAAGCAGGTAATATCGGGTATCATTCAATTTTCATTGAACAGGTTACAAAACATGTTCCATCAGTCAAGAGTCAATAATTTCCCCCCTTCTGTGTCATAACCATCCCAATAAACTGTCTGCTGCCAAGCAGAACAGTTAACCATTTCACCACTGTAGACCATAATGGACTCATCCAGATCAATGCAGGGTATAGTCTACTAAAGTTGCATAGGGGTGAAAGGGTTAATCGGATTGGTCCCAACACTGTGGGAAGTATTTACAGCAGCATGGGTTGCTCTCAGGGATAGGTTACCACATATTGTCTTGTCTGTCGTGAAGCCAGGCAGTGGTCTCTGTTTTCTATTAGCAGTGGTCTCTGTTTTCTATCAGTGTGTTTCATGTTACTAAACCACTTGGTGGATATAGTTAAGGTCATGGATTGGATATCACACTGTTGGGGCTGCAATGATATGCATATCTCACGATACGATAAGTGTCACGGTAAGATGCTTACAATATGATATGTATCGCAGTACAATACAAATAGTTGTTTAAAAAGTCAACCTCGTAATTCCTAAACGTTTTCTTCAGGTTGGTAAGTTTGGATTATGAAAAGTTTCTTGTTACACAACCAGTAAGTGTTTCTATGTGACGTTACTTATTGGTTGTGTAACAAAAATCTTTACATAATCAACTTCATAATGATTGAGTTCAGGAGTTCATCAAGTTTTGTTATAGACTTCAATAGTAAATACTATCGATATATATTTTTGTATTATTTCTAGTACTTTTGGGTATGACTGCACAGTGGACCACATCTTTACTGAAGGATTCAAAAAGAAATAAGTACACTTTTTGAGAGATTGATAAAAAAATATTTATAATTTCAGTACCGTAAGTGTATTGCCATACAGGCAAACAAATCAATTTGTTACGATACACAAGAAAGTATCGTGATATGATATGATATATCATTGCCGCCCTAGTATTTCATGGTGCAGTTTTATGCATTATTGTGCAGGTGATATCACCCTATGAGAAACATGACTTGTGGAGGGGAAACACATATTTTTGTTGTTTTATTCATTCACTCCTATCAAATCAACTGTTATATGGATGAACATTTGTTTTTCTTTTCTACAGGCAAAGAGGTTGGGTTCACTTAACAAGTTCAAGAGTAAAAGTCGCTCCATTCTTATAGCCACGGACGTGGCCAGCAGGTAAAGTTATAACTCTCATAGGAACAAGAAGAGTGTGTTCTGTGTATTTGTCAAATTTTGTGGTCTGATGAATTTAAGTTCTCAGAGAAATATCTTTATTATCTTATATATCATATAAGGACTTCCTGAGCAGGCATTTTCATCTGTGATTTATTTATATGTCCTTTTTTCCTTAAATATGGCGGCATGGTAGTCTAGTGGTAGGACACCGGGCTCTTGACCGAAGGGTGGCGGGTTTGAGTTACGGCACGGCACTGTGTTTTATCTTTGAGCAAGATACTTTAATCCGCTTGTTCCTGTCTACTCAGCTGTAAATGAGTATGTGGTTGGGCAGTGCTAGAATTGTTGAATGCTAGCTGTTAGCGCGGAAATGGCAGCTCCGGCTGTATGCTCCCCAGGGAGTTGAGAAAGGTATTGGCTGGTTGCAAAGGCCTTATAACCACGGATAACAATTTGTGAACCGCTTTAAGACGACCTATGAACTAGGTTGTGATAAAGCAGTATATAAGAACCTCGAATTATTATTATTAAAAAACTTTTTTTTTGTGTGGATGTACAATGAAAAAAGAATCATAATTCTAAGGACCTAATTTTTTGGAATCAGCTAATTTACATCTATTTTCACTTGAATTATATATTATGGAAATACATATTCAGCATAAAACAAAACCATCATGAACTAATGAAAGTATAGATAGTCTATGTATTTCTTGTACTAAGGGCAAGTGAGCTTATGTCATGGTGCGGCGTCCGTCGTACGTCAACTTTTCCTTTAAACAACTTCTGAAGAACGGACAGGCCTAGAGTCATGATATTTGGCTGAAAGCTTCCTTGGTAGGAGCCCAACAAAGTTTGCGAATGAAAATGACCTTGACCTACTTTCAAGTTTACAGGGGTCAAATATGTCAAACTCTTTAAACAACTTCTCCTGAAGAACTAAAAGGTATAGAATCTTTACATTTAGCTGGTGGCTTCCTGGGATAGAGCCAAACAAAGTTTGCAAATGAAAATGACCTTGACTGGCTTTCAAGGTCACAGAGATCAAATATGTCAAAACACTTTTAACGACTTCTTCTGAAGAACCAACAGGTACAGAATCTTTATATTTGCCTGGTGGATTCCTGGGATAGAGCCCTACAAAGTTTGCAAATGAAAATGACCTAGACCTGCTTTCAAGGTCACAGGGGTCAAATATGTCAAACGCTTCAACGACTTCTCCTGAAGAACTAAAAGGTATAGAATCTTTACATTTAGCTGGTGGCTTCCTGGGATAGAGCCCAACAAAGTTTGCGAATGAAAATGACCTTGACTGGCTTTCAAGGTCACAGGGATCAAATATGTCAAACACTTCAAACGACTTTTTCTGAAGAACTAAAAGGTATATAACCTTCATATTTGGCTGGTGGCTTCCTGGGAAAGAGCCCGACAAAGTTTGAGAATGAAAATGACCTTGACCTACTTTCAAGGTCACAGGGGTCAAATATGTCAAACTCTTTAAACGCCTTTTACTGAAGAACCAAATGGTATGGAATCTACCTTCTTCAAGGTCACAGGTGTCAAATATGTCAAAAACATCGAGCGACTTCTGAAAAATTGAAAGACATAAAATTTTAATATTTGAAGAACAACGATGACCAAAAAGCATACAATCTTTTAATAATATTTGACTGGTAGTATCAACAGATGGAGCCGACAAAGTTTGCGAGTGACAAATTTGTAGTACAATATAATATTTAATGAGAATATTTGCTATGACTGCTTAAATATTCAGGTGAGCGATACAGGCCCTCTGGGCCTCTTTTTCTATGAGTACTCTGGCTTTCCTCCACCACCTTATGATTAGCTGGGAGTTGAGTGAGCATGCGCTAGAGAGAGGAGGTCCATCGATCTCGAGTACAAAATGTGCTCGTATTTTCATAGTTTAAGGCCATTATTCAATCACCAAATTGCATTTTTCAATCATATTTAGTCATAATATGGATAATATGTTGATATTATAGGGTGAAATCTACTGTAGGGGTAAATTTTCAGTAAGTGGCTGAAAACTGGTCATTGGGTGGTGTGGGGTAGGAACGGTGAATAGTCTTGCAATACGTCAAGCCGTCCGGAAGACAAGTCGTCCGTAGGGTTTTTTTCGACGGGAAAGAGCTGGGCGAATAGTCTTGCAATGCGTCAAGTCAAGTCGACCGGAAGTCAAGTCAAAGTTGTCCGTAGCATGATCATGTGTCTGGTAAAATTCTTTGTAATCGCGTCATTGCTTGGTCTGTTGTGTCAAACAAATACCAATGCAGACCCTTGTATCAATTCGTCCGTCTCATTCCGAGACTGGCACTTAGAAAACAAGTGCTTGACCAAAACCATTGATTGGAATAGTGTTGTGCCTCATGAAATAACATCAAAGTGTTACCTTCATATAGAATGAAAGTAAATCATGAGTGTCATCATCCCCTGTACCTGTTTACAGACTTTACCATCTCTGACAAAAAATCAAATGACCCTGGCTATGACCATATGCTGTACAAATTGTTTAAGCCCATGAAATCTATACCAAAATTAAAGTCAGGGAGAGCCCTGTATTTCTTATTGGCCTTAGTCATACTAAACTCAAATGACGTCGAAATCAATCCTGGCCCAAAAAACAACAGTACTAAGTAT